TATAATTCTAATTATGTTATTGTAATAGATAGTTTCGTTCTTACTCTAGTAGGTTATCACTTTATTTTTAAGAATGCTGGTTACCTGTAATTGGCGACTGTATATGGCCAAAACCTAATGTTATCATTGTTTTATTTAATTTGCTATATACAGAAGCTGTTGGTGTACCTTTTTAAATAAATAGTGGTTTTGACGTGATTGGGTAGCAAACATTCGACAATACATACATTAAAACTTTTTTATATTGTTGGTATATATTGTTTATCTACATCCTCATTTTACCTAGATGTAATGTTGTTACGTGTTATTGTGATAGGGACGAATTCAATTCAAACACCGGGCTCGGAGCCAAACACCCGAGTATTAACAAAAACATACACGAATTTATGTTGTTATTACAAATGTAAATACAATATTAATTGTAAAGTATTAGAACAAGAGGAAAATATGTTAATATCTATATTTATACAGGTAGGTTACCGTACATAAGCCGTGTTATCACAAGTAAATATTTATAAACATTCTTCACAAGGACGAAATGTCTGTGGAATTTAATTATATTTTTTCTAGACTTTCCTATTACAATGTTCTTAATTTTCCAATAGAAAGAGCTAAGGCTCATCTTGCTTCGGCCTTCGGCATTGTTATCAGGTTTTTGGGTCACTCAAAGTTATGTAACTGGAATGCCAATATTGGTATTTATTTGTCAGTAATAAAATTAAACGTTAAAATGCTTGATTTGATTGTAAAACAACAACAACCTTTTGTGCCACAGTTTTTATTAATCCACTCATAGATTACTTTTGAGTGACCAACTTACATAAAATGGCTTGTCCAATAATTCGTGTCCCTAAGGGGCTTTAATTTACCGCTAGTAATCATGAAAGCTCCTTAATGAAGCCGAAGTCTCCAAATAAAATTAAATACTACGCTATACTTCACATTGCTTAAATTTAATATATAAAATCTCGCGGTATCCTCTCTCTCATAAGTAATTATCATCGTCAGATAAAGAACTGAAATTAATATAATCATACTAATACAATATACAACTAAATTAATATTATATTCTTTGTAATAATCTTAAACCGGAATTTAAAGTAGGTTCTGTAATTTTTCTCGCTCGCCAAACGAGCAGACGGATTACGCCCGTAGTATTACAAAAGGAGTTACTACAAGTGCGTTGCCGGCCTTTTGCGGGTTATTAGGGATTTAAGGAAAGGGGACTTGGGATTGAAGATGGGGGGAAAGACCTAGGTAGATATCAGAGTCTTAAAAATTACATTCCTGTGTTAAAGACTCTCATGTTTTGCTTTAGGTGCAGATTTACAGAATCTTCAAAAGTACATTACATATAGCTTTAGTTTCACAGCTTTATTATAAAACTGTAATTAAATACATAATTATGTTATTTGCAGTGACACTTGCGTGTAATATACTCATAGATACACGAATCTGTATTGAAACTCAATTAATTAGATCCAGTTGTAGATAATTAATTAACATTATTTAGTAGCCCCGGAGGTAGGGTTGCCAGATGGTCGTGATAAGCGTCAGGGTCGTACCGTGTACAGCAATTTTAATTTGCAGTCCTAAAACATGGCAAAGTTACAAAAATATGGATGAAATGAAGCTATCTTGCAAAAACCAAAGGGAAAACCTAACGACACATAAAAAGTCGTATTTGAACATGTTTCAAACTATTGACATATTTTGTTAAAATAAAGCCATGTTTATGTACTTAATTCCTGCTCAGTCTTTTTTGGACCAGTAACAAAAAGTGTGATTCCTTTCGTAGTCCCCGTAGGTACCTACTTAATATTTTGATAATAATCAGCTGGAATCTGGCAACCCTACCCGGAGGTGATGTGGTTTAATATCACAAATGCGATTTGTTAATTATTTGCAAAGCACATACATATCTACATAGGTACTAGCGCTGTTTAAAAATGTTCTGTTTATTAAATAATTTGTATAAACAAATTAAACAAGGACAAAGGATCATTTTCTTTGATGACTAGTTTTATATTACTATTTGTAAATGCAAGTCAGTATGCAAGTATGTTGACAAACATATCACGCGGGTGAAGTTGCGGACGAATGTTGATAAAAAGCGGCCTATGTTAACACATAGGCCGCTTTTTATCCTAGTTCCTTAGTACGTTAGTTATCCTTAGTTGAAATTTTGTGTGTGTATAAATGATCTAGGGTATCATTTATGCACACACAAAATTTCAACGAAATTGGTCCAGCTGTTTTCGCGTGAAAGGTAAACACATCATAACTTTCACATTTATAATATTAGCAGAATAGTAGGATGAAGGTAGAATGTAGGTATCTAAAGTTAATTAATTTTCATCATTTTACTTCATGCTCAAAGAAATTTTACTATCCTTAATTAAATAAATGAATAGATATAGAAAAATGTTCAGTTTGATTAAAATATTTACAAAGAAGAAATACGTACTTACCAATGTACAAAAAAAATGACGTGCTCATGAAAATTTTCACAGTTTCATTCAACATTTTGTTAAAACGTGCTTCTCATTATCTAAGCTGGCCGTAGCTCTGTTATCGTACAACGCAAATAATACTATCACACACAAATACATACATGTATATTGTATATAATAATATCTGCCTTCTGCACATTTGTTTATGTAGACCACCCGTGGGTAGTGCCTTTAATTCGTTGAAGGCACGAGTCGCTTATCAGTACTGTTTGATTAGTATTATCTTATTCATATTAAATTGTGGAATTACTTGTAAAACTCAATTCGTACTACGTTCTATTACTGTTTATGTACATTATAATAGCGATACACTGCGGTTACAACCACTATCAAATACCAAGTTCGTAAGTCGTAATGTTGCGTTTGATTGTGTTACATAACTAATATAGTAGATATGTATATGTATAGACGTATATTTTCAGTGTGAAACCTCTGCATGAATTTATTAGGCTTTCCTTGCTATATTAATATATGTCTGATACCATACGCCTGTAAGCATTATTGATAACTCTAAGCGTACAATTTCCCAGTGCTATTCATCTCATACAATGCTATTAACCGAAACGTAAAAGATCCTCTCTGTAACATTCTATAAATGTGGTTACATTCACAAAGAACCTCAGATTTTGCAGACGTTTAGTAATATCATTACTTTCATACAAATCTGCAAAGGTTTCACATACCTACTTTTCCAGAATCTTCATTGATTTTTTCTAGAGGCTTTTACTCCATGGTTTCAGACTACGCCCTGTCTCATACGATATAATTTTCTTTTGCATAATGGTACGACACTTGACGCTTGCCAAAGGCCTGCACGTGTAGATAAAACAAAAGAGGAGCGTAACAAAGAAGGTTTTTAAGTAAACGTGGATATAAAATTTTAAGGTGTGTATGTATAAAAGGCATTAAGCTGACTTATGAACGAGAACACTTATACCAAAGGGCGACTTCGGCCCTAACTCCCTACAAGGCCGTCCGTCGCCACTCGTACCACATCATTTGGAATTATTCCAAGCTTTTTCCAATAACTAGTATTTTCACACTGTTGTGAGCTAGCAAAAAAATTGATCTTATTTTTGTCAGTTCTCGTAGTTATATGGTCATTTGTCGCAGTCCTGGTGGACATCACGCCTTTTGTTTTCTTATAGGGTATATAGAACTGTTATACTCACAATTTCTGTTATTTAACAAATAATTATGTAACAAGGTATTGTGTGTACCTAGAGCACAATTTATAGAACTTACTGCTGCTGAGAAAGAAATATAAAAAATGTTACAAAAAATGTATAAACTGAAATTTCTGACTCGTCACGAGCGGCACATAATTAAGCGAAAAATCTATAAAATTAATTTGAAGATTATTAAGTACTAGTACTGTAATTATTTTCTTGCCTTAAAGATACTCAAATAGAGCTAAGCAAAAAAGACGTATTAAAAAATAGGGCTATATTTTTCACTCAAGTATCTCTTTGGCTATTGTATGAGTACGAAATACTTTTCGTATTTATATTCAACGGCTGAATGCAATGGAATTATACTCTCAGTGAGATTTATGCTGCTCTACTTATACTTAGGTATGGGTTTCTTAGTACATCGCTCTTGTTTACGAGTTCTCTGGCTTCATTCCTACGTGTGGACTTAAATAAATATCCTATTTTTCATCTTTACTTACATTTATAAATCAGTAGCTGCTATCTCAATTATTTCTACAAAACCTTATTTCTTTGAATTATATTTCAATCAGTTATTTAATAAACAACTTATTGGTTTTTTCCTAAAATATATGTAGGTACATTCTATTTCCGGGGTTTTATGTTTTTTTTTATGTAATTCATCGTCAAACGAGCAGACGGATTACCTGATGGTAAGTAATCAGCGCCGCCCATGGACACCCGCAACGGGGGAGTGACGGATGCGTTTCCGACCTTTTAGGGATTAGGGATTTGGAGATTTAGGGATTGAGGAGGGATCGGGGGCGGGGAAGGATTGGGCCTCCGGTAACCTCACTCACACGGCGAAACACAACGGTGTGGTTGTTTCACGTCGGTCTTCTGTGAGACCGTGGTATCACTCCGGTCGAGTCGACCCATTCGTGCCGAAGCATGGCTCTCCCACACTTATTACACTACTTGGAAATTTTATAAATGAAATTTTGCAACAATTTTTCGTTGGTTTTTATTTATCTGCGTATCGATATATACATATTATATTCAAATAGAACATCAATCAATCAAAATATGTTTACCAAAAACAGTAACCCACTTGATATTGTACTGAAAGGTCAGGATTTTTTGTTTTCACCGCTGAGCTTAACAAGGATGACCAGCGATTTGGACAGCGTGGCTCCAATGAAAAAATCTACATTAGCGTAAATGACCGGCGGACTAAGAACGGCACAAAAAATACAAGAAATGTATAAATTCACACATAATATACCTACCTATAGAATTTTTATAAGTAAGTCGTTTCGCGTCAAATGAGCCCAAGATGAAAAACACAAATATATTTAATGTAAGTATATTTGTATTTGGGTTCCTATAAGGCAGGCATAAGATACCTTCCTTATATCTAAGAAATATAAATAACCAAACTAATATCTTAAGGAGCACATAATCTGAAACTTATTCATTTTAATATGAATCATGGACTTGAGCCGCTTACAGAGAGTTTGTTCATGACCCATTATCGGAGATCCCAGACGCTTTCAGCCATCTTAAATTTCAATGTGGAGACGCAAATACCAGCCATTCTATATTTAGGTAGTCTAAGTAATGAATATCAGAAGTTATCATATTATATGTATGCCTAAAGGCAGTCGGTTTATATAGGTAAAGAGTGAAAAAAATACATTCATTTATTTATTATAATAAGGTAGGCTCACACTTATGTATACAAAATAGTTAAAAGTATTGGTCATCGGCAGTAGATCTTATACATTACGAGTTACGAGCTAACCAACATTCTTAAAATTATGCGATTGTACAGACAAAATATATAGAAATTATAACTAGAAATAATCAAATTAACATAAATACAAGTCTGAAATATAAAAATAAAACATATAACAGGAGTTCTTTTAAAAAATCACAAATATTTTCATTTCCTATCTACCTATCTAGATAAGGAATTAGAAAATGTGAATTATATTTTATGTGAATATACTTTTAATTTTAAAATGTAATTTACGAATTTACTATTATGAATTTACCTTTAATTTTAAAATATAATTTGGCGTAAATTGCACTGACCGTCACGCGTGATCACTAGCAGATATCATGTCATCTATCTATATATTACACTATTGGCATCAATTTACAGTTTAGGTCGATATCCCAGATACCTAAACAGAAATACATACACCCACAGATTACGTTCTGCGGTAGACCCGAGTATATTAGGGACTGGTAGTAAATTCCCGATTAAACGCTCCTCGACCATTACCTACTAGCTTCTTTATTGAGTTGGATAAAATCAACTGGCAACGCTTAACTGACGCTCAATCGACCTTAAAATAAGCAAAATTCTTCCCAAAAATATACATCTGAATAGGTGAAACTTACCTACATATAACCATGAAAATAATAAACACCTTTTTCTCCTTCAAAACGTAGGTTCATTTTTATCTAAAACTAGCTACTCTCGAGCGGTTTCTTCCGCTGTTCGGCTCCTATAGATCGTAGCGTGATGTTTTATAGCGTATAGCATTCAGGAACATTGTTTGTTTGTAGCTATCTATCAGTGAAAGAATTATTGAAATCCGACCAGCGCTTCCAAAGATTACCCCCTACATACAAACTTACAAACCTCTTTATAATATTAATATAGATTAATCCAAGTTAATGTGAAGAATTACTGTTTATTAAACAAAAACAATAATAACTATTACTTAATTATATTTCTTTCTTAAAAATAATGATCACTAGATACATATGTACCTATGTAGTATGTATAAAACAAAGTCGCTTTTTCCTCTCCTTATATCCCTACGTATGCTTAAATCTTTAAAACTATCTTTTAATAAAAATAGTTATTGAAAAGAACGCAGGAAGTATGATAACATCCTTTAAATAGTGGAGAAATTTAGTATCAGCATTGCAATCGTGCAAAGCCGGGATGCGTCGCAAGTAAATAATAAATAAAGAATATTTTTTTATTAAACTATAGCCTATCGAATAAAATAATTTAAATGATGCTTTATGGAGTCAGTCTATGGATTTTTAGTAAAAAGGCTGTTGCTCCTTGATTAATAACGTGTGGGCGGTCTGGTTATGTTCGCTAATCTATTGACGTCACGATCACGTCGATTCTAAAAACTCATTCATACCTCTTTGGTAAAGCGTTAAGATGGTTTATCTATACTTATAATAAATCTGTAGAGAGGTCAATTCTGTACATTAAATATATTTTCAAAATAACTACCCAGGGTTGATAAGTGATCGATACTGATGCCAAAAATGCAATCAGTAAGATTTTTGTCTGTCTGTCTGTCTGTCTGTCTGTCTGTCTGTCTGTCTGTCTGTCTGTCTGTCTGTCTGTCTGTATGTATGTATGTTCTTTATAGAAACAAAAACTACTCGACGGATTTTAACAAAACTTGGTACAATTATTCTTTATACTCCCGGGCAGGTTATAGGGTACTTTTTATCACGCTACAAATAAAAGGAGCAGAGCAGTGAAGGAAAATGTTGGGAAAACGGAAGAAGTTACTCCCTTTTTTAAGTATCCGTCGCGTGTGTAACGTTAATGGTTAAAGTTACATAGAAATTATGTATGACGGAAATATTCTACATAAAATTATGTAAAAAAATTGTTTTACAGCATATGTCTAATTTTTATGGTTAACTCACAATAGCACGTGTAACTCCTGATAGCTTAGCAGTTCGGATAATAAGCCATCGCGCCGTCGCATGTGAACATTGAATCATTCTATAAGTATTATTATTATTTTTGTGTAACGGTCGCGCTCGACGCGACACGGTATAAAATATAGTATAATATAATACATGTAATAGGTTTTATGCAATATTTGTAATACTATTAGTTAGATCCGCATCCGTACCATTCTATCTATGACCGGACGGATAGCGGAGACTTAGTAAGTAATAGGGTATTTAGACATTGGAGATGTAACCATAAAAATGAGACGATTAATAACAAATTTTATGAAAACTTCGATTTTGTTCTATTGCTGTAGGCTGCTTTTTATGAACACAGCACGCGGGCGAAGCCGCTGGCGGAAGCTAGTAAGTACATATTATACTCGTATAATCGAGAAATATGTACTTAGGAAAATTTTAAGGTCAAAAACAAATCAAAAGTCTTTATTTGTTCTTACGTTTACACAATGCGTATGTAGCTACAGTAAAATCATCTGAAATAAAAATTATCCTGTACACAGCATTCAATGTGTAATATGCTTCATTTGTAAGTGATATCTAAAACCACACAAAAAAAGACGATTAGGTACAATTAATACAAACCAAGTATTTTTAAATTCTTTCCAAGAGCAAATTGCGTTATATCGTCCGCACTTTCGGGAACAAATCAACTTTTTCATTAATTTAATCAATTTTATTTATCTGAACATTTATATCATAGATTTTTTAGTTTATAGGTAAAACATTATACAAGGAAATGTAGGTATGTTGTGCTCAAGAACCACCACAACAGAATGTTTGTTGCGTGTAAAAATAAAATTCGCTACCCGTTGAGCAGTCGTCGATCGCACAGACAACTGAACTATCGAAAACTTCCTAGTTACGTCGACATTCGCCTTGTAGAGATGTCAGAAGATGATTTAGGTTCTTCAGTAAAGATGAGGGCATATCACGATAGTTATTAGTTGACTTCATATTGCGGGTATTTCATTACATATCAAACTACGTATTATACCCGTACGTTTGACAAGTTTCAGTATCTATCTCGCAGTTACTTACACTAAATTGGGACTTAGTAGTTGTATAAAATGCCGTCTACCTCTAGCAGTTTTATTAACAAAAATAAAAGGAGTATGAAAACCTCTTTCAAGAAATTTCCCGTTGTTTGTTAGTGTCAAGTTATAACTAACGATATATTAATTGTGAACTGAACCGACGTTGTCCTAAGCTTACAGGCGATTGTGTGGGCGCGGCGGCGTCTCGTCGAGACCTAGGATGACAACACGACAGTATTTCTAAATTTAAAACTCTATTATAGACCCCGAGTATATTAAAACGGTTGACAACCAACACGACCTTTAAAGCCGAGAGAATCCACCTTAATTGGACCCAGGAACGTGTCACATTCTAAAAGTAATTTATTTTTCCCTAGACACTCTTTACTAGTAAGTAAGCTCCATTTAATTTTCAAATAACATAACTAGGTATCACGATTACTAAGCTAGCCTCCTAAATAGTACAAAATTTTCTGATGAAGTGAAAATTAATCAGAGGTTTAAGTTGTCAGTACTCCTCGCCTTCCAGAGTTTAACTAATTAAGCGTTATTTGTGTTATGTCATTTGCAGTAATACGAGTACATAAAGCAAACCTCATTCATGTTTTGATGACTTTACTACCGCAACATTGTAGAACGGCGAGTGGCGAGTCGGGATTTCTACGCAAGATTTTTTATTACGTAAACAATCGATAGTTTATGTTTTCAAGACCTAAAGATAAATATTTAATAGATACTTTTTTCTGCTGTTTCACTTCAAATCTGACTTTTACGTTTTGATACAATCCTTAGCCTACCTACTTTGACCAACGCGAATCTATTAGTTTTAACATTATTTTAATTACTGCTTTATAACTATTGATCTACTACTATGCCAAATAATACTTCGGTTTGGTGATACTAAGGAAAAATAGCGTAAACTCCTCAGTATCAATAAATTCTATGAAGGATAACTGAGTTTTACGTGACTTTCGATAAATTTTACCACCGATACGGCTTCGACGTACATTGAACCATTAACATTTTAAGCTTGGCCGTCAATGTACGCAACTAGTGACGTAAACATCGGGACTTGGCCAGGAACTGAACGTAGAGGCATCGCATCGCGCAGCGGCAATCGATCGCATGCGCGCGCAACTCCGCCATCCTGGCTTCAGTACCGAGTGGTGGTTCCAGTCGAATACAATATTCGACAGAAATGTACCAAACCCGTGCTAAGTGACTACAGAAATAATAACTGTTAGATAAAGTGTTCGACGACTCGATAGGGGATCAAATATAAGGTTAGTGTTGTGTGCCTCTTCAGCTGAAAAGCGCCTTCGAAGTTATACCGTATACTGTAATTATTATTTAAGAATTTTCTCTGGTCTATTCGAGTGGATTTTTAAAGTGCCCTTATTACTTTATACGCCCTTATTTGCTATAATTATTCTTAGATGCGGAAAAGGCTTAAAATCGTAGGTAATTGAAGACATTCGTACATATATCAATGCGTTAATACATAAGCATAAATAGCTACCTATAGATCTCCGCCTATAAGAGCCTTCTATTCGCGCTTGACAGTTCAGATGTCTTCAGACCTTGTGTAGAGCGGACCTCAAGGCCCCACATGCGCCAATGCAAGAATATCTCTGAATAAAATAGATCTAATTTATTTTTACTACAAATAGAATGATATTATTTATTAGCATAGTTTAAACACATTTCTAGTGGCTGTTACCTATAAATCTTTTCTTGTACGACTAGTTAAGCCTAAGGAAGTTTTTCAGGGACAAAGACTAACAACAAAAACGACCTTAGAAAGTTTTTAAATTGCTACCTGAAACGGGTTTAAGCGGCACGGGATGGCATAAATTAAGGTTCATAGTATAAGGTCACAAGCGGCTCCGAATTAAAATTTAAACACGATATTAAAACTTTTTTGTGTTTTAACTACATATGAACTTGAATTTTTCATGGATAATTAGAGTTCATGTGTAAATTGCTCTGATCTAGAATTCTAGGTAGCTATGTAAGTGAGACACATTAAATGATCATATTTATCATCCGAGCAGACGTATAGAGATCAATATCAGTTAAAATATGTAGGCCAATATTTCTGGTTCCAGTTGAACTAGTTCAAGTCTCTCAGATGAGATTTTCAATTAGTTTTCCTAGATATGAGTATTGAATGTCCAACGACAAATCGATTGAGGCGTATCTAGTGGTAATATCTACCACTATGTAATATTTTATTGAGATCGAACCATATAATAATAACCACAAAAGTTAGGTTGTAAGCGTTTAATACCTAGACATGGAATCCATAATCGCTTATGGGTACCGCGATTAAATGTATTATTTGTTAAAATAAATAATTTATTTTTATGGCCCTGGTTTTAAACAACATTTTAGGTAAATTTATTCTAAAAGAAGCTTGCATAGCGTGCCAAATAGGGCAAAAATATTCAACAAAGAACTATGGAATGATACTGATAAATATTAATACGTGTATGTTTTGTTCCAGACAATCATGTCGCCACTGCTGGATTCGCTGCTGCGGTGGCGGCGCGAGGCGCCCGCCCCCGGCGAGACGCTGGATGAAACAGCTACAACATCTAAGAACAACTTCAGTAAGAAAATACTAAATATAGACTTCTTCTATATATTCCGCTAGGAAAATATTGATTTTCTCCGGAAAGTATTTTACTAAGACAGATACAGTTTTAAATATCGAATTTGCTTTGCACGATCGAGTTTTTTTATACCGTTTCATCTCCAAATGGGTGGGCATAATGGCATATGATGCCACATAGTCTGTTAGACCCACTTTTCAAAAGTAAAGCTTTTGAGCCCCACGTAAAAGGTAGGACGCCTATTGCCATAAACAATTCCTGACTCTGAGAATAGGAATTTAGAGATATCACTAATGAGAAAACATCGAACAATGATTGAAAAATCCACTTCGAAAACCCATGCTTGGGATTCGCACTCGCGAACACTGAACCAACGAGGCAATGAGATTTCAAATTATGTTTCCTATTTAATGATACGTATTACATGAATCGCTGATTTGTTATCACCACAACTTAATCATTGGAGATTTAAGCAAGAGCACCTATTATTTCCTGGTTTTTAATTTATTACCTAGGCAGCTAAAAGCGACGCCGTATATGACATTAAATACGTCGTTTGGGTTAGTAAAACGAGTAGCTTAATAATAGCAAAATATAGACAATGTAGGCACAATTTTTGTTTTAAGATTATAATTTATTTATTTATTTATTAGGCTAGCCAACAGTTATGTACACTGTAACATTTATGAGATACAAAAATATAAGAAATACGTTTGTAAGTGCAATAACTACTTACTGGCTAACACAACATACACAGAATAACGATTAACATTCAATAGTAATTATTATATAATAGTACCTAGTATTTTAAATTAATACAAAAAGACATTAACAATAAAAGATTCATGAAGTATACATGGACTTAGGTAGCATTAAAACCTACCTACAAATAAAAATAAAAAAAAAAACTATAAAAACAAATAAATCAATTAATTAATTTATTTATTTATTTTTATTAATTTAATAATTTTTGTACACACAGTAAGTTGGACAAGTTAATTAGTTAATTATTATATTATAATAAAAAAATACCGGTTTTACATTAAATTTAAAAAAAATTAGTAGCGTTTTTAATACCTTAAATTTTTGAAATACTTTCGTAATAAACATCCACAGCCATCTTATCGGTAACGTAAGACACGGGTGTGGGTCGGCGTAATCGTCCCACCTGAAAGTCTTTGGGGAGGCCTAGGTTTTTATAGCATTAGTCTGCAAACGACATCAATGGACCTTACCGCCGATAGTAGGTGGTGGTGCAGTTTGGGATAAGGAAAATTGGGGATTGGGATTGAAGATTTGAAGATTTGAGGATATAAAACTATAGGGGATGGGATGGAGGATTAGACTTCCAGTAATCTCATTCACACGATGATCCAGCTATGTTTCACGCCGGTTTCTTGTGAAGCCGTTATATGTCGGGTCAACCCAATCGTGCTGAAAAATGGCTCTTACATTATATGTTTAGAAGTGAATGTATTGTATTTGAAGTTTGGTGTTCTAACGAAACGTATCTTTATGCAGCAACTACAGAACCTGGTACATCGGTGCCGACTACGACGGCAATCCCAACGACCCAGGAGTCCATCGGAGAGAAGACAGCAGAAATTGCTCGTAAAATGAACATCGAGCCATGGCAACTCGTTGCTATACTTGTCGGTAAGTAGAATTTTTATAATTTATAATCTTTCTTCCGCTTACTTTTCCTATAGGGTCGACCACGAATTATAATAAAGGCGTAGAAGTTAACGTCTACTCTATTGATCCGATATAACAAAACCCTTATTCCGTTCATTGTTTTTATTATAGTAATGCAAGTGGATACTGACTTTCGAACTCGTTGCATGGTCCACGACAGTTCGATTCTTATTTTAAATATTTTTCAAGCTAAACAGTGCGCCGGATTTCATTGAGTTTGACGACCATCTGCAAATCCCCATTTGTGGAAATGATTTATCTAAGTGTAATTTTTCTTTACCGAAATGAGTTATGTAGGGTACATGTCATTTTATTTCTTATTTCGTTCCATTTAGTTCAACTAATTAATATGCCAAAACCTTTGGTCACTTAATTTGTTTAACTATGTGTAAACCATTTACAAAAGATCTTTAGGCTTAAAACTAATTTAGGCTAATGATTTTATGTAAACGACTAATACGATGACGTCGAAGGCAAACTATTCATAAGAAAGTCAAGTATCAAGCCCACGTTTTACATATTACAAGAGTTGACAGTAATTTTGTAATATTAGACACAGAGTTCTATTGAATAATTAATACGGCGTAATATTTACTAGCGTCGCTGGCAAATTTACATACGATATAGGTACCTACCTCCTAACTCAAACAGAATCGTATCTCGTAGTTCCTGTCTATAGATATAGAAGCCAATAAATTATCGTCTAAGACCCCTCAAACGTGTAACTTGGCTCTAAAATTACGTATGTTCAATAAGTCGCAAACAAAATCCCCTTTGCGGCTTCTAGATCTTTTCATGTGTATTTTTATAAGGACATTTACACTTTTTTCAACAAATAAACCTTTTTAAATTACCTTCTAACTGCGATCTTCTAAGTAGGAAATATCTAACAGGAAAGGTCACTGAGCAATTTAACCCTTTGTGCTGTTTTTATTTACTCTGTTGCTACCGTCTTTCATATTGAACGTTTGTCAAGGTGTGGGCGTGGTGGTGCTCGGGATATGTTTCTGCTGCATCAGGAGGTGTTTCCGCAAACGACGCTCCAAGGATGGCAAAAAGGGAATGAAAGGTGTCGACCTAAAATCCGTCCAGCTGCTCGGTTCTGCTTACAAGGAAAAGGTAATGTTTTGGTACTTTCAAATCTATTTCGGTGCTCCGATCTGTCGAGAGACACAAAGAAAATACTTACCAGAAAAAGGTTTCCACCCACTTACAACTGCATCTAACTCCTACAGATTCTCTTGATTTTATTTTGAATGATAAAATTAATTTTGTTATTAATTAATATTGGTAGATCAATCAAGAGTATCTGCTTGTTTTCATGGAATAAAATCATATAAAAGGAAATCACAATTGCATCCATAGAAACTATTTTTAAGAGATTCGATATTCATGTGAAATTTGCCGCGGGACGTGCATGTAGGTTCAGCCTGATATGGAGGAGCTCACGGAGAATGCTGAGGAACCTGATGACGGTGACTCCAAGAAGGAGGAACAGAAGCTAGGAAAACTCCAATACAAGGTATGTTTTGAACGAGTTTCTACATGGCACAGAAAGACCCACCAAGGAAGTATTTATACAACCTGGTTTGTACACACTAACTAATGAAATATCCATTTCTAGCATCACTGTAGCTCCTTCTAGAGCGCAGTAGTTTAAATCCATTATTTCATATGTTTTCCTTTCTTTAAACTGTTCTTGGTTTGTTACATAATTTAAGCCATTTATTCAACTCGTTAATTCACTTTATGACCTCGTTGTCACCATTTCTGAGTATCTTGGTGTGCCGTTTATGGCCAATTAACAAGCACTGATCGCATCATAAAGTCTTTTGTACATGGAGATTTCAATAGCAGCATTCACTACAATCACGGTGCTACAACGTTAGCGGCTACTTCACATAGTTTTTGTTTACAGCTGGAGTATGACTTTAACAGCAACAGTTTGTCTGTGACTGTAATTCAAGCTGAGGATCTCCCCGCTCTGGACATGGGCGGCACGTCTGACCCCTACGTTAAAGTTTACTTACTTCCCGACAAGAAGAAGAAGTTCGAAACAAAAGTTCATCGAAAGACTTTAAGCCCCGTTTTCAACGAAACATTTGTGTTCAAGGTAAGTTTAGGAGACAGGTAAAAAATTATTTGCATAGCATTAATACAGATGTTCATGCTTATTCTTTTCTTCTATTACTCATACAGAACGTGCCCTACGCTGACGCTATGAATAAAACTCTCGTGTTTGCAATCTTCGACTTCGATCGATTCTCAAAACACGACCAGATCGGTGAGGTGAAGGTGCCGCTGTGCCAGGTAGACTTGGCACAAACTATCGAGGAGTGGCGCGAGCTGCAGAGTGTTGAAGGAGAAGGGGGGCAGGTGCGGACACACACACACAAAAAATATCTGAAGTATTTTCGTCCTCCTTGAAACATCCAAGTACCTTGTACAAATGTAAATGAGTCTTTTAATTAAGACGTGTCGGTCAGAAGGCACAGAAGCTATCGACCACACTTTGCTTCTCCTCCAATAGCCAATACTTCATTGCTACAATTTTCATCTTTATAAAATGAAAATCAAAGTGCCTGTACTAATAAGTTTCTACGCATTGTAAAATAATTTCTACAAGGCTTTACTTTTCAGCAAATTCATATTTAAATTGGAATGAATTTATATTTTGACTAGCAATATAAATAATGATTACATGTAAAATGATTGGCGCTCCTAGTCCAATTTCATACATGTCCTTACATTAAAGGTGAATTCATTTACAAAAATAAATAGAGCTTTGCACGTTGGGCCATAATAATAAGTCACCAGTAGTATTCGTTTCAATGCAATGAACTGATATTTCTTAGAAGATATATTGTCTTAGGCAGATGTTGCAACAAATCACTAAAATTGGTAAAATTGACAACTTTACAACTACACCCAGGTCACATCAACATCATTCTGATCAACAAATAACTACCAACTAGGAACATTATATACTTACGAACAAATGCACATGTAGAAATAAGTCAGAAACACCAACGAAAAACGTATCTGTAAAGATACCTGGCAAGAAGACAACTTTATATTTTTTTCTTAGCTTAGGCTAGACTGGCAAAACACACATGACAACCTACATAAGTTACTCTTACCAACAAAAACAACAATATTCTTTACTTATTAGATTTGTGTTTTGGCAGAACAGCATTTTAAATTAACATTTCGCCGTTCTTTCAATCAATGCGTCCGGTCCATCAAACCTATTATTAATTTATTCGCATTCATTTATAAATATGCAATCAACTTTATCATTAGTATTTTTTGATCTTAGTAGTTTTTAAATGCAAGTATTTATTGGAAGAATGGCCTACATTTTTACAATTTTACTGCACTTTTTGAATGAGAGGAACCTTGACGGAATTAACACAAATAGCTTGTCATTTTAATGAAAGTGTTAAAGAAGAATTCTCGACAGTCAAGGCACCTCAACATGGATTGAGTCGTCATTTATTTTTCTGATAAAATTAATTTCGACAGCAAAAATGTATTTACTTGGTTTTTCTCTTTTTCTCCATATTTTCTCTGCTCTGCTTGGCTGTGTTTGATTGTGTCCTGAACAATCTTGCATGCCGCTTCAAAAACGAAATGATCATTCACGTAAGTATTATTTTGAGACACATCAAGATTATCTACTGATAAATTATACATGACTTAACTCAAAAAGGCGTGCTGGTATACGAGACCGACAAATGGCTAAGGTTTAACCAAATCATGAAAAAGGTTACAATGTTTTGTAAAGAGGATTGGGCCAAGAATCAGAACCATTACGTTGTTTTTTCTAGGACGTTAGGAAGCATTGTTAGAAATTAATATTTGATCCTCATCTCAAATTCTGAAAATTATTCACCCAACCTTTGATCACCCGTCATACCGCATTATTTTTTATTATTTTTTTGTTATTACGTCTTATTATTTATATCCATCCGACACTTTGATTTTATTTTATATTGCGGCTGGGGAATGTTGCATGTTCGTCATCTTATTGTGCTCGTACTTTGTCTGACTTGCCATTTGTGTTCTGTCCACTGTGCATACCTTGATACCTTATTCACGTGAAAGCGAACAAAATGACAAATCAGAAACACTTAAGTGTGGTACACGTTTAATTGGCTATGTATTGGTGTTATTCACAAGTAATCCAATATAAGTACATTGGTTCCTTTACTTACAAAATTTCAAAATTACAAAACAAATCATAAAATGTCGCACAAAATATTTCCCTACATGTGTAATTTGGTGTTTCGCATGTAATTACATCGTGTTCGACTCATATGGCATTATCATGAAATATACTTAATATAACTAATGATTAATGAAGCATTTGTTCAAGTATGTTGCAGGTCACCTTCTGACCGACGAAAGAAGAATAATTCCTTGTAATATCCTTCTGAACCAATCTGTACTTATTGCATGTTTGTGGTATTGGTGTAGGTAACTTAGGGAAAGCACATTGTGAAGGATTTTTACTATTATATAAAAATTATTAGAAGGCTAACGAGAGTTACCAACACAATGTGTTTCACCTAAAACGATGTTCTTTAGAAGCTATTTGCCAGAAGTTCCTTCCTATAGTATTCTACTGTCTTAACTGAATCTTTCTTCAAGAACATATCTTAGCTACACCTTTATCAATAACTCACAATGGCGCAGCTTATAACTAACACCGGCATCACACTAGTGCGTTACTGGAATATCTGTTTAATGTTAGTGTGCTGTATCTGATGGCACCTATCGATGTATGTATGTATATGTAGCATTACTATAAGCGATCTATTGAAGAAACCTACCATACTGAAATATGTACTAGGAACCACTGTATCTAAGGTGTTTTACGTTGTCTCTCATACTATCAACAACCAACATCTAAATAATAGTCATTTGTTTGTACATATATTTTCGAAAGAATTGTATGTTTTCTCTCGACTTTACTTTTACAGATTGCGAATACAGGGTCAATGCACCTGCGTCCCTGGTAAGAGTTATCATTAATGACGTATTTACTTACAATTTCTTATGTTTTCATCGAATATTTCTTCAATGGTTCGCTATTGTTCGTTGTATGTGTGTATTGTACCTATATGTGTTAGCTAATTGCGATCTGTTCCTAAAATGGTTAGTCTTTCTTACAGACTAGGGGCATCGTTCAAGGTAACTGAGTTTACGGATAGGCAAACAAAATGTAGGATTCAATAGTAGCAAGAATTTAGGGAACGTGAGCTAGATTATAAATACATACTTTCATTCTGATGATCTGAGCTGGGTGTCACAAAAATACATAAATTGGCTTCATTTCGGCAACAGATCGTAATAAAATCTCCTCATCTTCTAGCCTACTACCTACCAATATAAATTTATATATTTCAGCGGATAACTGCTTCATATTAGGTTTGATATGAACGTTGATGTATATATTTATTTTGTTCGTCTAGAGTTATGTTCCAAAAAGTTATATGTATCGTGTTTAATTTATATTATTAGATAAAGTGAAATCTATGTGCTAAAACGTTATATGTAACGCAATGAAAGTGTTCGTCAAATGTGCGTATGATTTTAGCTGCAAAAACCATTTTGTTCGAGGCTATTAATCTCAATTGTTTACGGGCTATGCGTCCTAAGCACGTGGCTCGGCGCAGTATTTCAGTTATCTTGTTATGTAACATTCACATGAATATTCATAAATATAAAAAAATTAAATCCGTGAACTGAAGCCCTGTGCCGATATACCAACAACCATAAATACGCTTCTAGGTGACTACACGAAGCTATTGTTATGTTTATTTGTTTTTTATTTCGTGTAACGAGATTTTGAGTGCCCTGGTCCGCCCTAAGCCGCGTTATTTATGGCCCATATTATTTGTATTTTTTATAAATAGCTTTTCTAACCCGTTCTCAGAACGCTATATTCCTTACACAACTTTTCCTCTATTATCTTCCATACAACTCACATCCAAATAAACTGTTTGTTCAACTCTGTTTATTGACAATGGTAAATTTAAAAACACATTTACAGCGACAAACATCGAGTGTAATACCATTAATTACGTCAGAGATAAAAGAATATTCTTTGTACAAAGGAAGGATTACATTGGCAAGCAAGCCTATCAGTTAATTCACTAAGCTCTAACGAATAACACAAGCTGTTCATTCGTAAGACACCACCATGGCGATAGGTCACAGAGTCCTTCGTGTACCGTATAAATAGTCATATTTACTATTGCACATTGCAGGACAACAAGTTGGGAGACATTTGTTTCTCATTGCGTTATGTACCAACGGCCGGAAAACTGACAGTTGTTATTTTGGAAGCTAAGAACTTGAAGAAAATGGACGTCGGCGGTCTATCAGGTAATATTAAGACATCATGTATACTCATATATATATATTTATCATGTAAAAAGAAACACTGATAACACCTATGTCTAATTTCACAGGGATTTTAGGGTAAACATTTTATATGTACCTACATTTTTACTATTGACTGTAACCGCATAGTAATGTACATAAAGTCTAGGTAGTATCATTGAGAACAATTAAAGCGATATAACATTGCATGACTATAACACTTGTGCCACCCGGGAATACCTACCATTTCATATAAGTATTTTAGCTACTTACATCATACTTTTTCATTCAACTCATGGTAATAATCATCATCAATTACATCTGATTCCCCCACGTATTGATACAACTTTAGTTTTGTGCATTTAAATTCATAACATGAGTGATCCATTACACCTTATACAATTTTACCTTATTTTACAAAGTGCACTTAAAAATAAACACAATTCATTTACTTTTAATTCAAAACTAGAACCGCTTTTACATATCCAATCAACAGCCTTTTACTTGTAACTATTTAGCAAACTACCTACAACAATCTACAATTTTTCATTGACATAATCTTACTTGTTATTGTGAACTAATCGATGCCAACTTGTCTGTTCCATATCGTGTCTGCTGGTGCTGCGCCTACACACAGATCCGTACGTAAAGATAGCACTCATGCAAAATGGCAAACGTCTCAAGAAGAAGAAAACGAGCATCAAGAAATGCACACTGAATCCCTATTACAACGAGTCATTTACTTTTGAAGTACCATTCGAACAGATACAGGTGCGAGCCGAGATTCATGCAAAATTCGATGTCGCAGCGCATAGTCTGGACAAACTCATTAATGACAAATACATACAGCACAACGATTCTTTTAATATTTCAAATTCTCACAATTCAGAATTTATGAAGCGTTATGTATTTCTCATTAAAATTGTCTTAACTGTGCACGATTTGATGTTGTGGACTAATTGTTGTGAATATATGAATTATGTACACCACTTGCATCCATACCCGTTCCTTTCCTATACATAACATATTTGTGTTGTATCATTTTTGTGTTGATTATATTTTTTTGAGAAGCCGTGACTTCTTGTTTCTATTGCATAACACGTTTATGACATTGTTTACAAAAAATATAACGAGATTATTCTTCGTAAATATTTGTTGTTAGTCTAACGTTAAATGTTTGTTGTATGTCCTAAGTTGTTTATTGTTTGGTATGTTTATTTTGTGTTTATGTAGTTGTTGTCTAGTTAGATCATGTGTAGTACCCCCTAGTATAGTTCTGCTATTTCATTTGTCATTCTATCATCTGTTTCTGCTCCCTTTGTGTCCGCCCCCGTCTTTTCCTTCTTATATTGCTCAAAGCCAATTATGTTATACTTCTATAAACAATTTAAAATGTTGACCTTCACTTGTAACTCGATGTACGTGTTTCGACTGGAGGTTTTCATTTTTGGTGGTAATATAATTTAGTTGGCTTTAATTAATATTGTCCGTCCTTCGAATCTGAGTGGTGTTAGCAATCTCCCCTCGTGACTGCATTGCAATTTGGTTACTTCAAACTGTAATTACTTATGGTTTAAGGAATCCAGTTCCTCGTTCTTCTTCTGCATTATTTAAATCTTCTTTTCATATTTTCGCATACCTTTTCTATCTTTGAATGCTTTGTCCCCCTATTGCGTTACTTTATTTATTGTGAGGTATGTATCGACCTGTAATAGCAGCTCTTATATTACGCTATTGTATAAGGTTTGCTAAAGTAGTACTGTCGCCTTAACTGTGCTTTCTCGTGTCGTATCTTGTGCTCGCATTGTGTCACACATTCATTTTAACAACACAAAAATTTTACTATGTTATTTCATTCATTTGTAAAGATTTTAAAAGTATATACACTGCCTTTCTGTTAACCTGTCTGCATGATATGCAGGATGACAAAATCGCACTGAGAATACTTATTTGATATCTTAGTCAACGTACCATCTATAAAGTATGGCTTATGTATGTAGATACCTACATATTGTAAATAGGTATTGATGAAAATAAACTAATAAACAGAAATGCCTGTTAATAAGGGACCAAACAGTAAATTATGAGGTTGTTCTTTATTCAAATTTTCGAATGAAGGACATACTTTAATAAGTGCCTTTAAACTGAAATTATTCTGCTAAGAATCACATAGATGCCTAGTGGTTGCAAAACATTCCATTTTTAATTAAAAATATTGAAATACACACTAGCTCTCTAGAATACACAAAGTCACAGAACCTCATCTCATTAGTAGATTACTATGCTTCACGAGAGCTTATTAAAATCCCATACTTGACTATTCTAAAATTTTCAATCCAAAGAATTGTTTCATTATTCAACAAACATTGTATATTTCCTTGTGTTTTAATCCTTTATAAATTTCATTCAATTATATTATCTGTATTAAAACATCTGGAAATGTATGAAATAAATGAATATGAAATAATTCCACGAACTTGTTTCATGTAGCGTGCCAAAGACTATTAGAATTTATTATCATTTAGCGTCCGATTCCTATAATATCTGAAGCGAATTGTTTTATATAAGTACTAAATTGATTTTTGACCGATCGATGTGGTTGAAAACAAACTGTTTGGAACACATATTTTTGGATTTGTTTTCCGCACATAATTATGGAGGAAAAAATTATGGGCATCAATTACTTACCCACTTAGGTACGTTTTAAACATTCCTGCTTACACCAGTGTCTACGCCATCATAAGATTATTTTTACCTAACAGAATATTATACGAAAGGTGTTACACGATAGACACAGGCCTTGAAAGTGAACGCACTTTCAGAAAGTGAACATACAAGTTGACTCGCGAGTAGCGTCCATGTCAAAAGTAATATTTTGAATCCCTCAAAGATTTTTTATTATGTATTATATTTATTGCGTATAGCGAAATAAACATTCACAGTTAGAATAATAAATATTTGATATATTCATTTCTTCTAAATAACAATTCGTCAAGGATATTTTGGAATCGGATAGTTAAGACTAGCACAAGAAAAGAAATGCCATTTTTCTCAGCTCTCACAGTTATTATATTCTTCCAATGGTATGCCATTAATCTGAATCACACTGCAGAAAGTAAACCTAGTGATCACCGTGGTGGACTACGATCGCATCGGTACATCGGAGCCTATCGGCAAGGTAGTGCTGGGTTACAACGCGTCAGGCACCGAGCTTCGCCACTGGTCCGATATGCTGGCTAGCCCGCGGCGCCCCATTGCGCAGTGGCACACACTCAAAGACCCCGATGATGGAGAGAAGAAGGATTAAACATTGAACTGAGGTACGTACATACCAATCGTTAATATTGATACTCTTTCCTACTGAGATTATACATACCATGATCACGACCAGAGACCATGACAAGAGTGTACGATCAAAACGAAACGAAACTGAGGACGATGTATTTATCATTCTGCAGCAGGCTGTATTCTACTCGGTTGCGTATTTATGCTAATTACACTATGGTAAAGACACAACAACTGAAAAACTCAAGTGTAATAAGACCCTAACTGAAATTAGAGTTAACAGATGATAATGACTTATTTTTTTAATATCATTTATGTTTTCAGTATGAAAAGCAGAAACCTACAAACATGGAAGTACGAGAGTGAAGAATAAGCGACTTATTATATTTGTTTATACTTACGTTAAGAATATTCGTCTTATTTATATTACATTCAAATATTCCAGCGGTAAAATATGTGCCCAACTCCTAAACGTTTCATTAGCGCTTCATCAATGTGATTTGGATGTTGTCTTTAATCGTTTCCAATATAATAATCTAAAAAATATTGCTGTTAAAATATGTAATTGTAAAAAGATAATAATGTTCTTTCCCCTCTATTAATTTAAATGTTGCTTACAGCTATATGCTAGTAGCATGATACCTCCGATAAGTTTGCATCTGTGCAGTTCAGAGGCGATTGGTTTTGAATTGGCGCACGGATAAAGTAGCTAGACGCAACAGTTGATTTAGTTAGTAAACTTGATTGCATTAGCAACTGCATCGACGCATAATTTATCGTTTGATAAAGAGTCTTGTTCTCTAATCTCGTCTCGACTAACTAATACTCGTATCTTGCTAAATTTTAAGAATGTTGGTTTAGCAATATGTAAGTTGTTGTGAGGAGTGTAGGGATAATAATTGTTAGAAATCCTTTGCTACTTCCACGTCCTTAGCGTCTTATAAAATTGGTTTTGAAATCGCGCTAACAAATATAGGTAATCAGCTTTGTTCAATAAATGTGCTTTGTTATCAAAAGCCGTTACCTAATCCTACGTGTAATCGAAAATATATTTTATTTAAAACCTATTACATAAAGCTGTGTAAATAAGTTGTATCCTGTTAAATTTATTACATTCTATTTTACTATCATATAAGTGTTATAGTATTGATACCCTTTTATTATAATAATATCACAATGTTCCTCGGGGGAAGAGAATGGACCGACGGAGGTCATTTGCGTTTCATAATTTAGTTTGTTATTAGACAAGATCATATTATATTTTGTCGGTAAACTATTATTCTCTTCTCGTGAGGAACAATAGGCCTATTGTATAGGTACCTAAACATTATTATTTTAAGGCATGACATTATTTATTAATTAAATTATAAAGTCTTTGATGTCCAGTGTCCATCGATTAATCTGTATGATTTTGTTAATCGAAAGTTTTATTTACTTATACAAAATGATTCTATAATTTAGGTTAGGTAGAATAATTTATTATTATTTAATTAATAGCTATGGAAATGGACATTCAATATACGTGGTATCATCGAAACTAGTCAAACGTATAAGACTACCTACAAATAAAAATACTTATACTTTAAAATTATATTGTTAAATAGTTCCAATCGTTTAAATGGTTCTTTACGGTGTAATATTTAATCGTGGTTAGACTGCTGTTCGTCTCGTCACGTCGGTAAGTGGTTCGTCTAGAATGGTTGACAAATCTCGTCGCAAATTATATCCGTAACATTACTATCTGTCGGTTCGAGGTACCAACATTTTACTGTTAGGTAGGTATTTAATAGTTATATAACATCTCCTAACTTTGCGGTTCGAGTACCTATATATACCTACGTACTTAGCTAAAGCTTGACTGTTGTTGATCTCAAACATATGTGTTATTGTGTATATAATGTAATCACATGTTAAATTCCACAATCACATTATACTATATACTTATATCTATGTACCTATAGGGGTAATGGAGTCGGGCTTCAAGTAAATTTAGAAGTGCACCAACACGAAACAAGTAGGAATAGACTTGTGGTTCAAGTACTGTATTTAACAATAAATATAATTACTATGTTAATATAATATATAGAACTTATTCATAACAACAATGCAACAGATTCATTGGCAGATTTGTGCAAGCAGGAAATAGGTATACTATTTCCACTTCTTTCTTCTGAAGATCAAAGAAACTATTCCAAGTTAAAATCACAACCAACAAGGTATTTCAATATTTGAAATGGCTGAGTGAATCTGTTGCAACTCCACTCAACTACTTTATAATCCCGACCGCATTGAACAAGCGGTCGAGCCTCGGTAGAATTGACAATATAGATATTTCAAATGCTATTTAATATTAACATTTTGTAATATTAAGAACAAATGCCAGAATACATGTGAATAATCGCTAGAATTATAATATTAAGAGAACAATCAGAACTATATAGATGTCTTCTCTCATACTGGTGTAGCGACTATAAATATCAGATATCAATCTTCCACTAATTAAAATCACACAACACAAATATTGACTAGAGAAAGCTCTCAGGCTGTTTTCTATCGACAAAAGACACCAATCAAATAACAATGGCGTGTCAATGTGTGGAACAAGAAAACCTAATGCACACCAGGTTATTTATATTTTCAATTCAATACCTGTAAAGCAATTTGTATGAGTGAAATATATATTTTAATCACACTTCAAGTGTAAAATGTTATATCATTGGATAATTAGCTTGTATACAAAGTGGTGTTAATGTGTTGGGCTGTTGTAATCATTGCTGTTTGTTACAAACTCCTTTGCTAAATTTAGAATTGTATAATGTAACCAATGTTAAATGAAACTTTCATTTGTAGTTCAGATATTCACAAATTTGCAGGGTTTATCTGTATAGCTACTCATCGCCCATCAATTGCACCAACTATTTAACATATACTTGTAATTTTGTTGACACAAAATTGTTATCATAGATATAATGTATATACCTATCTCTGAAATGGATTGATAAAAATAACTTATCATATCACTTGCCACTTTAAATAAAAAATCATTGTCATTATTATGTTAAAAAGATTTATTAACATTTTGTTTAGAAGTATTAGATATTTTATTTTATTAATACACAATTTAATTTTTTCTAGAGTTTATAATAGTAATGAATTATGTAAACTATAAAAATGTCTATAATACATAATTACATAGATTACTGGTTTTCTTTTGCACCCCTAATTACATTGAGACACACATGATATTATTATGTTTGCATTTATAATTTGCATTAATAGGTATATTTTGTATGATTAGGGTTTACACTACATTTTCATAAATATGTACATTGTGTTTGTATTAGGTAACTTTTCAAATCACTTTAAGTCTTACAGGTAAACATAACAACTCACCACATCAGTTTTCGTCATAGTACCGTTTCTTCATAGCTCTATACTTCTTTAATTTGTATAGTGCTTCAATTTCTTTAACAACAAATTCTCCATGTTTCACCATAATCTGGACTTTTTCTGGATTTTGTTCGCCACTGTTCTTGGTAAAAACTTTGTGAAGTCTTTTACGGAAAAGGTCGTAGCCTTGAGGCCAGTCACGACCCAGATACAATAACTAGAATAAAAATAAAATACAATTGTTTTAGTCTTTAGAAATGCAGGTATTAAAGATTTCTTTGCTAAGTTCACAACATAATGCGCAAATCATGCAATCTTTATAGTTGATTTCACAACATTTTGAACACCTACCGTTTTATAAAGATTCAAAACAGCCCTCCGATGTGGTTGAGACATTTTTATGAAAAGTTTTCACACTTTTATTTAGAAGTTTATTTCGTTATATCCATAAGAAAGTTCATAGTCCAAGTAAACTCAAAATGATAACAAGCACTTTTGACAAATCAAAACATGTTGATGATGTTATTGACGTTAACAAAGTAGACAGCAAGATAGCACTATAAAAGCATAAAGATAACCATGTGTTAGATAAGGACAACAACATATGGCTATCTGTCATCGGTGACACTATTAAATTGCTGTTTTGACATTAATGTAGTGCTACCAACCTACTACTATAATGCATTTTCCGATCGTTACATAATGCTGAAATGCAATATCCAATGCGCGGCCGTCCGTCCAATCTAAAACCGTATGATGTTGTATTTAGCTAACAGATACTCATATCAACAAAAGTAAAAATTGAGATATAAATATAATCACGTCTTTTATATAGGTGCAATTACATATTATTTATTTACTATCGACAATCAACTTAAAACTTACTGAACAGATTTTCATGATGTTTTCACAAATACCTATAATATCTATGAATTCAGATATGAAATTGATTAGGTAATGGAAGAAAATGTTTTATTGGGTATATTTTTTTTATGGAATAGGAGGCAAACGAGCAGACGGATCACGTGATGGTAAGCGATCGGCGCCGCCCATGGACATCCGCAACACCAGAGGAGTCACAGGTGCGTTGCCGGCCTTTTAAGAAGGAATACGCTCGTTTCTTGAAGGTTTGAAGGTCGTATCGGTTCGGGAATACCGCCGCCGGAAGATCATTCCAAAGTGTTGCTGTACGGGGCAGAAAGTTATGGGTGAATCGCACAGTTGTTAACTGCCAACCATCTCTGTGATGGGGATGAAAAAGTTTTCGCGTGGAACGATGGCAAAAAGATGCGGCGGGGATCAAACGAAACAATTCCTCAGAACACTCCCCGTGAAAGATGCGATAGAGAATACATAGCGAGGCTACATCCCTACGCAGTGCCAAAGAGTCCAGCCGGTCCGAGACAACAGGGCAGTCGACAATTCGGACAGCTCGTCGTTGAATGCGATATAGGGTATATCTTAAGAGCAATAAAGCATTGGTTTAAACTTGTTAAGAGTTAAAATTAGAACACAAAACTAAGCGATAGCTAGGGAGGGCACGGCGAGAAGAGACACGCGCACCATCCACAAATTCAGACTAGCTAGCGTTTCTTGGTGTAACTAATGAAGAGTGTGGTTGGACCAACAACAAGTTTTCGCAAGGTAAGTTATGAATCGCAATCCCAATAATACTTAATTGTCAACCTAAGTAAATTATTAATCAATTACAGTTATGAAACTTTGTGAATCAATTCTAATTAGGAAACAAATAAATCACACACATACATACTTAAGAACCCAAAAACATGACACTCCATTTTTTCGGCAGTCGTGTAATTAAGGTGAAGATAAGAAATATGTCTATACCTACAGTGTTAAAACCTAATTTTTATTAACTTGGCATTATTAAACGACTTTAAAAAAAGAAGATTCTTAATTCAATCGTAAGTATTTTTACAATAAGATTAGGGTTTACGTCGAATCTTAAACAGGTTTTTTTGAATTGTAGTATTTTACATTTAAACATTGCTGTCTGCCTCTCTCCCCAATTCAATATTATTATAACACAGTTAAAAAGGGGCAACCAGTGCCTTTTCATCAACACTTCAATCAATTTGACCATGAGACGAGTCTATTGTTAATAAAAATAAGTACTTACACGTTGTGTAATGTCTTTTTTTACATATTTTATATTTATTAAGAAATACATAAATCTATCTAAGTTATTGACTGGCAACAGAATACCGTTGAAAACAAATCATCGTGGCATAACTGCCACGTCAGTCTCTGGTGACCGAAATGGCCTCAATAGTATTTCAATGAAACTATAACTTAAATATGAATTATCATGATTATTTTAATGTTATATTAACATTTTAATAACTCATATTCAAGTGTTGTTATGGTTTAAAGATTAGCACTTTTATACCAATGGAGCCCATTAGGGCTTTCCTCTTTATTTGTACCTAGATCCAGACAACCTAAAGTTAGTCCTGTATCGGAGCGGTGGGCGCTGTTGTGCCGTGATGAGATATATTTTTGTTTGGTTGGCCATACGACACATCCTTTTCCGGTCCTTTATCCTGTCGTCAAATCAATAAATCACAAAACGCCCTTTTGATTTACGGCTGCTGCGCGACGCGTAACGTGTAATAGTTGCTCTGTAAATTTGGCAGGAATCTAGTATCAATTTGCATTCAAAGTATTAATTTATTTAACTTCTCGGTCAAATAACTTCGTGAAGGTAAGTAAAACTCATTTTTAATAGTTTTTTGATATTGCCACAAAAGAAAGGAAGAGTGTGTGATTTTTGCTCGTAATATAAAATGTATTAATTAATATATTTGAAATACCTACTACTCAAGTTGAATATAATTGAAACCAATTTTATGTTTTTTTATGTAAGTCAAACATTTTGCTCTCGGCGTCTATTAATAGATTTTCAATAAATTGATTTTTTACACAATTTAAACGGTTCAGTAAATACCAATTATATACATATAATTATACAATAAAAATAGACATTGTGTTTCACCTGTATTTTTTATTCCGTGTGTTTCACGTATTACAAAAAAGAAAAATATTTAACACAAAACATAAAGCGCTATTACCTATTTACTAATTTTTATGCAATCGGTGCCTTTAAATTCGTTGTGTGTCTATTTTGTTTGTTTAAAAAATTGTCTTCAAATTGTGTCATAAAAATATCTGAGGATCAAAAAATAGGGCCATAAACCTTCCAACATGGCGTCGGATTTTACTAACGGCTCTCCCTGGATGGGCGGTGCCGGCGTCGTGCGCAGCGGCTAAGGCTGGCCCAGCGCATTGCGCAGCGCGACACGTCGCAAACTTTCCTTTCTTTTATGTAGGAAAGGAAAGTTGTAAGTAGTTGTACCTAAGTACCATCGACCCCTTTTTTAATTAATCATGCGACACATAGTATGACCTTTACATCTCGCTAGGAAATAAAAAGGCAGTGCGAAACCGCCCCTGTGTGCGCAGTGTGCGTTACACAAAGCAGCGCAATAGAGGGCGTCGGCTCGGTCATCGATTTTTATTGCATATAGGAAATGCGCCGTAGATTACAAGCCCCTAGCGTTTATGGAGCCTATGACAGAGCACGCCTACCAATTAGCTATCTATTCATTCTTTAAATTAGGAATCCTTTGGAAGATCTTGGAATATCTTAATTAAAATAAAAAATAAAAAATGCTTCAATAAAAGAAGTCCTCACCATCAAATTTTTTTTTAACTACGATTTTTATTAGCTAATAAATAAATGATTTATTTTAACTAATAAAATAAAAACAAAAAACTTGATGCGAAACGTTATTCATAATAAAGCAGTGGCGCTTTGTCTTTGTTTTTGTGAGTCGGATGATGAACAGGAAACTAACCGAAAGTATCCAATGAAATTCCATAAGAGTAAAAACACTACACCTTTTTTCGTCGAAGGAAATCACCAAATGTCAAATCATGTGTCAGACTCTTAAGTACTGACTAAAAACCACAAGATTCCTACTTCTACTTTAGGCCAAGGCCGTTATACAATAGCTCTTATGAGAGCAACACTCCATACGGGATGCCTAGGACTTGAGTTGGCACTCTACAAGTCCATGGCCATGTACCTATTTTCATCACGATGGTTCTTTCACGATGGGCTGCGCTCATGCGTCTACAGCCAAACTGGAACTAGGGCTTCCAACTAGAGGTTGTTTCGGGAATCATACGATTCATGGCTCTGCAGCCAGCTCCTGCGCTGATCGTATTCTAGAGAGTCATGCTCATATATAATTTTATGAAGGCAACCCACAAGTGGTTTACCCCTCTTTGAGGAGTAGCACGGCAGCTTCGGTAGGTTCCTGTTTCGGATCCAGTGGGAGGAAACGCCCGAGTTTCGTCATTGTGAGGACCACCAAGAGGATACGGTGGAGCATACGGTGGCGGTATGCCTTGCCTGGGCTGAACACTGACGTGTCCTCAGGGAAGTGATTGGCGGCGGCGACCTATCGCACCCGGCCTTAGTCGAGGCCATGCCATGGTGTGGAGCGAGAGCAACTGGGAAGCTGTCTCCTCCTTCTGTGAAGCAGTTATGCTAGCAAAGAGGGAGGCGGCCCGCGTGAGGGAGCAATCCTCCTCCTCACGCCCCAGCCGCCGCAACAGGCGACACTACAGGCGTCGGGGATCAAGGGACGATCTCCGGCTACCGTAAGCGCGGGTCTGCGGTCGGCGAGTAAGGGTAACTCGCCGCCCGAGCGTACGACGCGTAGCGTTCCGCGCGTGCCTCAAAGAGCCAATAGACCACCACAGACGGGGCCCTATAAAGCTGATGTTCAGCCGGGGTTGCGGGGTAAGCACAATGAGGCACCGCGACCTCGGCCCAGAGCAGAAAAAGAAACAGGGGGTTTTAGTCAGTAAGAGTCTGACACTCCCTCCCGCCCTGCCCTGGGCGGGAGAAGTCATTTGATGATTTTCCCCTCACAAAAAAAAACCCCAAGTGGTTTGTGCTTTATACATTTCTCATGATTAAGTTTATTTTCTATAAAATTGTCAAATTAAATAACTCTGATACCCATCGTCTCATATTTATGAGTGAGCTGATCATGGAACATACAAGTTCCCAATAGCAAGGAGTTAAAGAAAACTGTTTCACGTAGATCGATAGTTGTATTCTCGATGGTATTTTAGCATGAAAGGCGTCGGTTGCTCAGATGCTAAATAAATAAAATAACAAAATAAAAGTTGCTAGATTATTCATCGACCTCAGCTCTGCTTTTGACACAGAAGATTGCGATCTCTTACTAAACATATACTTGAGCACTATGGTGCCAAAGGCAATTCTTTACGACCTTTAAAATTCTACCTACATCATTATATAGACGAATGTTTGTTTGGATAAAGAGGGTTGATGGAACAAGTCCCGAAATAGTAAATACGTCTAGGATAACAAAAATATACAGCGTGGCGTACCTCAAGGCTCAATTTTGGGACAAATACTTTTTATTATATCATGTTATAATATACTTATGTATACCAAATTGGAAGAAGTTTGTAGTACACTCAACTTCTATCATTTATATTATAAGCTTATGGTAATGGCACCGACTTCCAATCTGTCATAAGTATAATAGGATCACCTTGTCTTATCTCTCTTTTCACAGACAGCCTAGGCCTATTTTTTTCTAGATTTACTAAAATTTTGTAATTCTCAGCTGCTGTAGATTTTCTTAAAAACTTGTATAATATTACTAGTTCTTAGCGGCTTCGCTCGCGTTATTTAACTACACTACCTATACATCTCACCCTACCTACCCTACCTACCCTACCCTACCTACCCTACCCTACCTACCCTACCATACCTACCCTACCCTACTTACCCTACCCTACCTTTCTCACCCTAACTTCCCTACTCTACCCTACCTAACCTACCCTACCTACCCTACCTACCCTACCTACCCTACCTACCCTACCTACCCTACCTACCCTACCTACCCTACCTACCCTACCTACCCTACCTACCCTACCTACCCTACCTACCCTACCTACCCTACCTACCCTACCTACCCTACCTACCCTACCTACCCTACCTGACCTACCTACCCTACCTACCCTACCTTCCCTACCTACCCTACCTACCCTACCTGCCCTACCTGCCCTACCTACCCTACCTACCCTACCCACCCTCCCATACCCTACCTACCCTACCTACCCTATCTACCCTAGCTACCCTACCCACCCTACCTACCCTACCTACCCTACCTACCCTACCTACCCCATCTGCCCTACCTACCCTACCTACCCTACCTACCCTACCTACCCTACCTACCCTACCTACCCTACCTACCCTACCTACCCTACCTACCCTACCTACCCTACCTACCCTACCTACCCTACCTACCCTACCTACCCTACCTACCCTACCTACCCTACCTACCCTACCTACCCTACCTACCCTACCTACCCTACCTACCCTACCTACCCTACCTACCCTACCTACCCTACCTACCCTACCTACCCTACCTACCCTACCTACCCTACCTACCTTAAATACTTCGATGCGTACACAAACTATTCCCTTTTGGGCTGATTTTTAATTGGTGTCTGTCGCGTCAGACACCAATTAAAAATCAGCCCAAAAGGGAATAGTTTGTGTACGCATCGAAGTATTTAAGTAAGACATTACACATTAGCCTGTAGTTCGCGGTATTTTGGACTCATACCACTGAGTAGGTGTCTGTCCTGTTTTAAAATTTAGGTTGGAAGGTTGGAACATTTCTGATGTAGGTAGATGGTAAAATATCCTTAATGATTTTATCAGGTCCTGGACATTATTCAGTTTTTATATTCTTGGGTACTGTTTTAACTTACTTTACTTTAGTTTTCATACTTGCTAGAGTGGATGTTGTGTTAAGAGTAATTATATCTTGTAGATTATAAACACTGTATAGGTTTTTATAAAATTCAGTTGCTACTGTAACTTCACGCCGGGTTTATCTATTACTGTTTCATTTCATTTTATTTTGTCTATCCATAATTTATGAAATCGTAGTTCTTTATATGTTTTCCATATACTCTTTGTTGTGTTTGGAGTTTTGGGTTTAATCCCTTTGTTTCTTGTTTTCATCTATTAATCTTCAAAGTGCCGTTTCGATAAATCACATGATCTGTGATAAATGTCATGACCATGTAGTGCTGAACTTATAATAAAATTAAAAAGACCGAAGTAATTAATGAAAGAAAAGAAAATTTATCGTGTTATGCTAAATGGTAACCAACTTATAATGGAGCTAGCGATTTGACAAAGAGAAAAAGTAATTGAAATAGTTTTAAATCATGACGATTTTATAAAATCATGACGTGACTTGGTATTTTTACGTTCGATACTAATAATTTGATAAATTATTTGGTTTTTAGATGCCTCAATCTGGAAAGAAACGTGCTCAAAAGCGAGCTGGCCGTGGTACTGATAATGCTGGTTCATCTTCGCGCAAACCTGGTGATGCGATGTCTCCTACATCCCCCCAGTCTCCTCAGTCCCCAACATCTCCATCGGCTTTTGGCTCTCGCAAAGCGCAAGCTGGCAGACCAGCCCCTAAACCATCCTCTAGTAGAGCACAACCGGACTCCTCTTACCCAACATCCCCAATTTCCCCAACTTCCCCAACTTCCCCAACTTCCCCAACTTCCCCAACTTCCCCAACTTCCCAAACATCCCCAACATCCCCAACATCCTCACCATCCCTAACAGCTCCATCACCCCGTGTCCCGCACGCTGCACAAAAAGGAAAGAAATCTACGAAACATCTTAAATCGCAAGAACGCTCTGATGACGCACAAAAACAATCGCAAAGAGTGGAAATGGGTGAGTATTGATTCTTTTTGAAGTCGGTCCCCCATATCTGAAGATCGTCATCAGCATCGGTGGAATATCTGGACTGGATGATCCGCTATCACCGGTTTTGATCGACACTACTGCGAAGAATAACCCCGAGCCGAGAAAAAGAAGAGTATTGATTACCTTAACTAAAAATAATGTCTTTACAAGAATATGTCTGTCAGTGATACCGCACACCTACTAATTATTCGTAATTAATTCAAACGGTGATATTTCAGATAAACCGGGGCCCTCGTCATCAGGGCGTGGACGCGGAATGCGCAAAGAAACTGAAGAAACTCCCGCACTACGAACGCGGCCAATTACAATTGTATCAAAAAAAGGTAAGGCAGCAATTTTGTAGGAGCAAGTTTCTTATCTTTGATATTTTTTTCTTCCCTCTCATTATCTATAAAATACCTAATAGAGTTATCTAGTTTAAAACGATGAGTTATATGTCAAATCGTTTATTTCAATTGAACCAATAGCAACCATATTTAATATAAAAAGTTAAAGTTTATGTCGGTCTGTCTTTAATTCCTATTTACACTTAACTCACCTATCGTTTAGCCTACAAGTGGATGGTTGTGTTAGTTGAGAATAAGATTCTTTTTTATCACAACTGTCTGAAAATTTTATTTCAACTTAGATAAAATTTCGTTGATTTTACATACGTTCTCGATAAAAAAAAATTTACATTAATTTCTAATTGAAATATTCTTCTAGGTACGAGTGGCAACGCAGTCAATTTGATGGCAAACTACTTCGCAGTTGAAACTACGCCGCAGTTTCGAATGTATCAGTACCACGTAGACTTTTCACCTGATGAAGACAACACCGCTGTTCGTAAAAGTCTTGTACGTGTCCACCATAAAGTTTTGGGATGGTAAGTAATGATTTTTAACCTTCCAACCTCGACTGTGGGTACCATTTACCTCGCAGGTTAACAACGAGCAACAAAAACGATCGTTTGTATAATTAAAGGGTGACCCTTTTGCCGTAGGTACCTTTAGACTGTACCCAAGAAAAATAGTTATTTGGTTAAATGTGTATGTTACCAGTTAAAATCAATTCAATTTAGAAGAACAAGGCTCTCAAACTCTCAAGCCTCAGATGGACAGATCGGATTTCGACTCGAATAAAAATATAACATGGCCTTTATTCAAGGCAAAAGTGGGTGTGACCTACGTTTTATGCGCGATTTTATTTATTCCTTCTGGTACTAATACAAATAGGTTTGTACCTGCATCTCCACAGAAAAACCGGCCGAGAGCGTATCGAGCTATGCTCAGTGTAGGGTTCAGTGGTTTCTCGTCTGTCACAATACCTCAATGTCAATACAACCCCTTAAAACTGCAATTCATTGTTAGTAGCAAAGGTACAGCGCCATCTCTTAGGGTTTTCTGTATAAAATTGGGTTACTAATTTATACAAACTGGGCGGGTTATGTTATCCAAATATTAATTTTCTAGTGCTAAGGGTCTCTGAGATGACGAAACGATAAAAATAAAAAAAGCATTATGTATTTAAAATTTTAAGTAATTTACCGTAAGTTCGGGTTACTTTGACCCTGTGAGGTAACTGTGATCCAAATTTTCGAACCATTGAAAAACGAATATACGTTTGGTTCTCAGTTATTATTGGTTAAGGGGTTTGGATCAAAGTTACCCCGCAGGGTCAAAGTAACCCAAACTTACCCGGTATGTGAAAATATCAGTTTTTGTTTATTATAGGTACATTTTCGATGGAACAGTAATATACAGTATCAAACGATTGCACCCCGATCCCGTACAGTTCTACTCCGACAGAAAATCTGACAAGCAAAGAATGGTTATTACGGTCAAGGTAAGAACTTGTAAACTTATATACAAACTATCTATACATGCATACGATTAAAAATCTCATAAATAACGATTACTTATACTAATCTTGTCTAAAATATAAAATTTTCAGCTGATTGGCGACGTCATTCCTGGGGACTACCATTATTTGCAAATTTTCAATTTAGTTTTGCGGCACTGTTTTTTAGCAATGCGCCTGCAACTAATGGGTCGTGACTATTTTGACCCATCCGCAAAGGTACGTATCTATAGATATGTATGTCGATTAATATATTGCAGCCATATTGCAGATTGCAGCTAGCTTTTCTTCGAAACTTTGTCTGTGCGGATCTAAGGCTTCAAGAATTAAGATTTGATATTTGTCATCTTTTCTAAGGTCTATTTTACGACTGAGTCAAATTCTATCTATGTTCTATGTAGTTTATTATATAAATCATTAGATTAGATTTAGGAGGATTTTAACGAGTAGGTTTCCGGGATAGAGTATATCTCTTATTTTACCTTTTTGAGGGCTTAAACATTTGTTGTACCAAAATAGCTACTGGGGTTCAATATATTCCCGTCACATGTGATTTTTAGGACAATATATTGTGTCATTTCCCGGTCTGAAATTATTCTCGAGCCAAATTTCACTGACCGAGAACTTGCACCAAATTTCAAATAAATTAATTCAGTGACTGAAAATATGTAGAGTTCCGTGTTGTGACTCAAAGTTGCCGTTCCCGGTTATGTCGAATAAGAACTATCTGATGTTATTATTCCGTATCGGACGATATTTTTCCAAAATTAAGTGGTTTGAAAAATAGAGGGTTTCAGGATTTTACCCACTTAGTTCCCATTCTAAAGCGATATCTGGAATAAAAATCTATAATTTTGTAGAAACATTTTTAAACTAAAATAAAATGTAATAACCATGGAGGATCGACATGAACATGGCCAAAAATAAATCTTTCTATTTCTGTTTAACCCCGAGAAGTAAAAGTGTCGCAAATAAAACAGACTGACTCAGTCCCGTTTTGTCTTATAGAACTAGTACTTAGAGTTTTCTCAGTTAAATCACGTGAGTGAGTCGTTATTACTTTAAAAACAGCACTTTTTCCTTGAATCTCCTTCAAATAAGAAAGCGGGGTATTCTTTTAATGCAAAAGTCGGCAAATGAGCATGCGGATTACCCGATACACCCGTAACACCAAAGGAGTTACGAGTGCGTTCGGGGCCTCTCGGGGATAAGAGTTTCGAATAATGAAGGGATTGGGGAGCGGGAGAATTAGGCCTGCGGTAGCCTCACTTGTGTGCCGTACGGCCACACATGGCTGTCACTTTTCACGCTGGTTTTCTGTGCGGTTTCCCTCTGGTCGAACCGACTTACTCGTGCCGAAGCTTAAATGATAACATTGTGTGATAATAACTATCTTAACTTATCGATGTGAACCCCCGACGCCTCGCTTTCATGATCGATTGGTTTGGTTATACAGGTAGATATCCCAGAATTTCGTCTCCAAATTTGGCCTGGCTATAAAACCACAATCAATCAACATGAAGACAAGTTATTAATGGTAGCTGTTATAACACACAAAGTAAGTATTTTTTTTTATAGTAACTACCATACATGTGTGAAAGAAACAGTAAAACAATATCGTTTGTTTCATTTTGTTCCTAATTTTTTCACAGGTTCTTCGGTTAGATACGGTACTCCAAATGCTAAGAACGTATACTAGTACAAAAGGTGCCAACTATAAGAAATGTTTCCTTGAAGATATAGCGGGTAAACTTTAATTATTTTTAATAGCTGAATGAAAAGTGATATTCAAAATAAGAAAAGAGTGCCTAAAATAAGGCTAATTTATTACAGGGAAGATAGTAATGACGACTTATAACCGCAAGACCTACCGAGTAGATGATGTCTCATGGCATGTCTCACCTAAATCCACATTTAACTTGAGGAATGAAAGAATATCTTATATAGACTACTATAAAAAGGTATGTATCTCATTTCGATATTGGCTGTCTTCCTTGTCCATTTACACAAAAGTCCGTTTTTTGAGGTCTTTTGGAAATTATTAAAACTTGTAATAAATACCTCGATCTCCGCAGCAACACATCATCTCGTCACAGGCCGAGTCCAGCACCATAGACTAATAAATTAGTGTATTATTAGTCTATGCCAGCACTAAACCAGATATAGCACGATCGTTTCAAAATGTAGTTCCGTATGGACTAAGACAATCCGTCTTATTTTTTACAACTGTTCTTCATTGAAGCAAAAGCCTTCTTTATGAATTTTAGAACGCACACTATTTTGGTCATAATTTGTTCCTTATCCGATGATTTATCTTCGGTTCAAAAGTTCTAGACACTGGGCCACTGGTCTACACCAAAATGCGTTTTATCATCATCTTCATCATATACCCGGAAGTTCCCACTGCTGAACAAAGGCCTCTTCTCACGTGGAGAAGGCTTGAGCGTTATAATTAATGCTCAAACCTTCTGCTTGCGGTGGATTGGTGTTTTCAAACTTATAACTAGAAATTATAAGTCCAGGTTACCTAACGAAGTTTTCCGTCACCGTATGTGAGTGAAGTCTAAATAATCATAGAATGTTTTTAAATTTCCAGAAATATAATATTACCATCCGTGACGTCGACCAACCTTTACTCATATCTAGATCAAAGCCGCGTGACATCCGCGCTGGGATGCCTGAACTAGTGTTTTTAGTGCCAGAGCTGTGCCGGCAAACTGGATTGACGGATGAAATGAGGAATAATTTTAAATTGATGAAAGCTCTTGATACACACACAAAAATCGGTCCCGACGCCCGTGTTAACAAATTGCTACAATTTAACAGAAACTTGACACAAAATCCTGAAGTTATAAAGGTAAATATATTTATCTCTTACTAAGGTTAAAGTGTGTGACAATCTATGGATGTAGGTATGTTAATTATTCTTTCACGCAAAAACGGCTAGATCGATTTGCATTTGAAAATTCGGTGTGAAGGATAGGATTAACACATAGGCTTTTTATCAACATACTACTCGGACGAAGCTGCGGGCGGAAGCTAGTTGACTATACTTTATTGTTATGTTACTTTCTTACATTAAATTCACCTCGTTGGTCAAGTGGCTATAAAACGACGTTCGAGCAAGGATATCGGGTGGGTACCACAGACGGGTTCTATATTATTTCTGTTAATGTTAAAATTCAGGGTACCTCAAGTCGACGTCAAACGGAGTCCAGGTGGCAAAATTACGCCATTCATAAGAAAAAAAAAATGATGATTTTTATATCACACTGGTTTATTTGTTATCGACAAAAAACCAAATCTTGTGACAGTATTTCTAATATTTTAGTTAAAAATTTTCTTTACATTTTCGTTTTTTTTCCCTTTACGTTCTTCTGAATAGTATATATCTCCTGAATAATAATGAAGATAAAGAACCAAATTTTGTTACTAAATTATTTACAGTAGGCACTGGTAGGGTATCTATGTATTATGGTATATTAAGGACTTTATCGTGTAGATAATTCCATTTATTACCATCGAAATTTGAGCGCACATCGATATGTGTGTGTGTGTGTGTATGTATTATTTTGTAATAAGCCTATGTAACAAGTTTACAAACGAGTACTTGTTACATAGCTTATTACTGAGAATCTTATAATTACAGGAGCTAAATACCTGTCACCTTACTTTTGCTAAACAACTGATGAGGATAAAAGGCCGCCAACTGCCTACTGAAAATATTGTACAAGGCAATGATTGTCGGTACCTAGCAGGTGAAACGGCAGACGGATGGACGAGAGACGTTCGGTAATATAATTAACACATTTGTGTATATTTCATGACGATTGACCTGCCTATATATGTATAACCTATAATAATATGACTATATGTATTTCGAATCAGCTCAAGACCCCTGCTGCGGATCAGCCATCTACCATCATGGGTAGTAGTAGCTCCAGAAAGGGCTCGACGTGAAACTGAAAGTTTTGTAGACTTGATTATAAAGGCAGGTAGAGATGTTAAATTCCTCATACCAAGACCAGAAATGGGTAAGTGTCGTTGAACTTTCATAAAAATATAACAATTTCGGGTGAATATTGTGTCTTACTGACTTTTTTATTTCTAGTGATGATGCAATACGACGGGTCTATAGATTACGCTCGGACTTTAGACAATGTTATAGCACGCTCGAATCCCGCTTTGATTTTATGTGTGGTCACTCGCAAGTTATCGGATCGGTGAGTATTTAAACGTGCAATAATACCAGATGAAGGCATACCAACACAATTTTTAAGCTTCATAAATAGCATTATTGTTATTAGATAAAACTGCTTTTCAGAAAATGATATGGTATTTTGGATCATTGTTGAAGTGTTATATATTATTCTGAGAAACTTATTTCTTATTTCCAGTTACGAGGCTATCAAAAAGAAGTGTTTGGTTGACCGTGCCATCCCTACCCAAGTTGTGACCTTGCGGAATATGACGTGCAATTCTGCTCTGTCAGTAGCCACTAAAGTAGCGATCCAAATGAACTGCAAGGTAATAAAACTACATGTGTGATATTTATTTCACGAAATGTTGGAGGATTCTCGCTCATTCTCCCTTCAGATTCTATCAAACAACTAGGAAGAGGGAACAAACTATTTATATATTTTATAATCTAAATTCCTCTCGAATGGAGTGCCTCTAAATTGAATTTAGAATTGTTAGAATAAATATCATACATATCTAATCGTTATTCTTTGTTCTCAATTACAGCTCGGTGGTGCGCCGTGGAGAGTTGAAATCCCACTGCAAAACATCCTAGTAGTTGGCTATGATGTATGTCACGATACTCGTAGCAAACAAAAAAGTTTCGGCGGGTTCGTCGCTTCATTAGATAGGTATATGACGCGCTACTACTCTGCCGTCAACTCACACACGTCCGGCGAAGAATTAAGCAACCACATGGGCTTCAATACAGCCACAGCTCTGAAGAAATTCAGAGAATTAAACGGTAGGTATTCCTTTTTTATTTGTTTAATTTGCTTTAGTAATGTACTAGCTTTTGCCCGCGACTTTCAAACTATGTCTGTGCCAAATTTCACAGAAAAGGTTCAGTAGTTTAGACGTGAAAAAAGGCAGTTAGACAGAGTTACTTTCGCATTTATAATTTTAGTTTGGTATCTATGCATTCTATTAGAAACAAGGATTCATAATCAGTATTTAGCATAAACACGTAATGAATTATAGTAAGTGTTTCTTTTGCGTGCTCCACTGGAAAAATCTGAAATATTGTTAAGCAAACTATCCACGATTTTACCTTTTTACATTAGTTGGCTAAGATTAATAGAATAACGCAGAATTACTTACGAATTGGAGTTATTCGTAGAGGACAATATCTGAAAATGGTTCAGATAAGATGGATTGGAATCCATGATTTCAAAATCTCAACAGTTTTTAATTTATCTAAACATCACTGTGATCCACCCTGTGGATTATATTCGAAGTAGATATTTACTAACGAGAAATTTAAAGTAGAAAACTCTATGAACAGATTTAATTTTTTTGTTGTTTACAATAATAAAAATGTTGCTAAAACTAATATTATCTACTTACAGCTACATTGCCGCACAGGATTTTTATTTATCGCGATGGCGTGGGTGACGGACAGATTCCTTATGTAAGCACACACGAGGTTAGTAATTCACATCACTTAGGCACTACTCTGTGCTACTTATAAGTGTTTTTCAAACATTTTCTTTGTGTCTAGAGCGGCAGTTTAAAGATTGTGTCATGTGTCAGATTTTTAAACTCAGTTGCATAGACATAACTACACTGCAGAAGTTCTAAGTGTACAGCATAAGTAAATTACTCATATTGAATATTCCAATTCTGTAACAGTCGCCGAAACTCATATCTTTTTTTATTAATTTACAAATTCATGTGAATCTGTGCATCGGCTGATTCCAGCTTCTCCCATCACAAGGCTGAACAATTTTGTAATGTAAATAAAAAATGTGGCATACATATAACAGTATAAATAAATTAATGAATAATTGCAAATCTCTTTTTTAGAACACCGTGCACTAGTTTAAATTGTGAGACTTATGCACCTATTGTTATTTTAAGGTGGCCGAAGTAAACAAGGTACTTCGAGAATTCTATGGATCCGAGGAATACAAAATGTCGTTCACAATAGTTTCCAAACGGATTAACACGCGTATTTTCCTGGAACAAGGGAACAAAGTCGTCAACCCACGACCTGGGACTGTTGTCGACGACGTTGTAACACTACCAGAGCGGTAAGAAAATTGTTTTAATATCACCCATTTCACCCTTTATAGAGTAAGGTTACTTGCGGAGCACCTAAAATAATAAAATCTAATGATTTTCTTTATGTGATAAAACCGCAAACGACGTATTAACTGACGATAACCAATCGGCTTTGAATACTCGAGTGGCGACCAAGGACCGAAAAACTTAGCAGGCCTCCGGTGGACCAACGACATCGTCAGAGTCACGGGGAGCCAATGAATGCAAGTGACGTGTTGTAGTTCGACGTAGAAAACTAAAGGAGAGGTCTTTGTTCAGCAGTGGACATCTTCTTTTTTTACTATTTAATAGAACGGCAAACGAGCTTACGGATTACCTGATGATAAACAATTAGCGCCGCCCATGGACGGCAACGGAGGAGTTAAGAGTGCGTTGCCGACCTTTCAGGGATTAGGGATTTGGAGATTTAGGGATTAAGGAGGGATTGGGGGAGGGATTGGAGGAGGGGAAGGATCGGGCCTCCGGTAACCTCGCTTACACGCCGAAACACAACGCTGTGGGTTTCAAGGATTAGGGGATGGGAAAAAAGAATAAGCCTCCAGTAACCTTACTGTTGGCTTTCTGTGACGTTTAATGATAAATTAAATATTTGTGTGTTTTATTTTACAGATATGATTTCTTTTTGATATCACAAAACGTGCGTGATGGAACCATAACTCCAACGTCGTATAACGTAATTGCGGATACAACAGGATTGCATCCTGATAGGGTAAATATTTTTTAAATATTATTAACTTTATTTATTGAAAATAACGAGTCACTCACATGTGAATAAACTGACATAAGCTGTTGGCTGCGCGACGTCGCCGCGGCGCGCACGCTGCTCGTGTATAAGAGTCCCGTTATGACTTGAAACTAGTAGAGCTTTTCTGGGTTTTTTTCACGTGAGTCAGTCGTTATTTTCAATTAACTAAGTATGTCTCACAATAGTTTACTATTAAAAAAATTACAAACTTTTTTTTAATTTAACGTAATAAGTAAATGTACCTATTATAAAATTTTTCTTAATAAAATATTTTATAGGGCTCTAATTGAATTTCAATGGCAAATGCTGAAACATTTATTATTTATTTTAACATTTCAGATGCAATGGTTGACATACAAGATGACTCATTTGTATTTCAACTGCTCCTCACAAGTTCGTGTTCCTGCCGTGTGCCAGTACGCTCATAAGCTGGCCTTCTTGGCTGCAAACAGCCTGCACAATCCACCACACAACTCGCTTACAGAAACTTTGTATTTCCTGTAAATCGTAATAATTTCGAGGGTCAACGTAATCATCCAAAGATAATATCCACAGTATATAATTATTTTAATTAGGACGAGGAAGATATTATCTTATTTCTTGAAAACCTGTTAAGGTTTTCAAAATGTTTTCGGAAAACATATTTAAGTATACCTTTTAAATATATAAGATAATAGAATAAAAATAAATGAATTAGCGTATGTGTTTATACCTAGTTACTACTACTTCTACTATAGTCATTATTATTTTTATACACTATAAAAACTGTGATTTTCTTAACTTATTACGACTTGGCAAGTTTTCTATGCTCAATTAGAGGTTGGTGCCAAAAAATTATCAACCTATTATAGTTAAGGTTATTTAACATGTGATTATTATTAAGAAAACGTATGACAAATAAAACGGCGTATTATTGGGATGTATTTTGTTTAGATTATTTGGTAAAATAATTAAATGTTAAGAAAAATATTAAGATGGGTGTCATGGTGGATTTACACGGTCTAATCATTATCTATTGTAAAAATAAATATCGCATCTTTTATTCTATATTCTATTTTTATACTATTTCTCTAATGCTCCATTTTTTACAGCTCAATATTCGATTGTTTAATTTATTTTTGTTACGTTTTAATTATTGTAATGTATAATATATTTGAAAATGATGGTTGTGTACCTACTTATAAAATTCGGCACAAATCATGGCAAGATTTTGTCAACATCATGGGTCAAAACAGAGAAAAATAGTAGGTATAGGATTAGTAGACCGGCTAGATTTGGACCAGTACATAAAAACTAGATTGAAAGAATTAGTTTAAAAAAAATTGATTGTATTCTTTCTTCTCAAAAACTTAAGTGTTTCGGTATTTTTATGGTTGTTTCTACTGTAGACCCTGGCTTACAGGAGTAACAGCGGTGTTGGGAGGTTGTGTCGGGCTTGTCCCATTAAAATAACGATTGTATTTTTTATTTATTACGTTTAACGTATTTAATTAAATTATTATCGGTCATTTGTATTATGCATTATTGCAAAAAAAAAACTATATTTTATACTATTGTGATTTTGAATCATATGGATCATTTTTACAAATTGCCAAAGGCGTTTTTATATAATTAATTATATTAATATGTCACAGACATTTTTAAGTTTTTTATAAGTACACAGTATTTAGAAACTTTATTACTTACTATTATTTATCTTAGATTTAATTTTAAAAATTGAACTGACTAGTGTTCTAATTTTTTGTGAAGTATTGAAATAGGTTAGTTAATCAATGAAATAAGTAATTAAAGGTTAACTTGAAACGAAAAAAAGACATTATTATTTTGTCGGTATTTTCCAAAATTTACATTTTTCTTGAATACATATTTGGTGTAGGTACATGTTTGTACATATGTAAATACATTGATGTGACTGAAATTAAATATCTTACCTTATATGTTATCTTAACCATAAATAAGTACTAATTGCATGTACTGCAGAAATATTCCAAAAAGTATTTTTGAACTGAATGTGAATAATATTAGTCAAATAATGTTAATTACTAATTCAAGTCGTATGAAGTCGACGGTTCGCTTATTGGACTTTCGGTCAAGGCGTGTTTGATACGTCTTTATGAAAAAATATATGGTTGTTCTATTTATTTAATTGTAAAAAGTTATATTAAGCCCAATTTATGGGTCTACTAATTTGTAAGAGTCTGACACTTCTTCTCGCCTCGCCCCAGGCTTGGGGAGTCATTTGATGACTTCCTACTTTTTTATCCTATTGGAGGATCATGTATATATAATCTAAGTGTGTCTCATATTTAAGTTGATATCTGTCCCTTCCCTCCCTTTTACCTATTTATAATAGGTAAGTGAAATTCAAATTTTAAACTGTTATGTGATACTTATGTGTGTACTGATTAATATATAACTTTTGTGACATTCACACATTTGTTTTATTTTCCAAGTGCCCTTAATTATAATTTGTTGCTTTTTTTTTTTGTCTTTAGGTATATGGGTATAATATATAATATAAGTACGTGTTCATTTTGATATTACTTTTGGGGTAAAGATTATAATATATCTCGTTCGTGTATTTCTTACTTCACTTTATCGGCTCAGAGCAGGAGAAGGAATCCCCATTCCTTCTCCTGGTCTGGTTCTGGTTCCTGCTTCTGGTTTTTAGTCAATACGAGACTAATACTACGTCCCTCTCAACCCTGGGCACGAAAGTCCTATAAATAATGAATATTTTACATCCTCGAGGGAAGACAGTAGAAGCCAAACTACTCTGAGTTGTCAGCCGAATGTGGCAGGCCCAGCCGTAGGTAGGTAGGTTTACGCAGTGACGTTGTCGTTAGTCACAAATTTCTTAGCCTGGTTGCCTATAAAAATTCAACTTGATCTCATATTATGTCGTACGTGTTACCCTCGGCCCTCAGTTTATTCTTTTTGCTCTCCAATTTTTACAAGCAAATTTAATTCGACCAATTGAATACTTTTTAATTTTGTTAAATTTGGTTTTGAATAATGAATACCACAATCAGAGACGATACTCAATTAATTCTGAATCTTGAAAATAACCAAATCTATAGGAGTATTAATTCATGCCTGCAAATTACCGCAAAAAAAATGAGACGCCGGAACTATGTGCAAGTTTAAATCACTCGTGCTTCGTTGGTATCCTAGCAACGATGTTATATTGCTTATTGACAAAACTGTCAACAAAGTAATTGTATTTCTTTTACGGTTAACACGTAGTTAATAAGAAATGTCTGAAAAAGAACCTGATGACGCAAAAGAAAATGTTGTTAAGAATGAAGGACAAGAATTAGATTCAGAGGTAACAGGCGAAGCAACAGGTGAGAAATTTAGTAAATCACTTATCCGATTTGTTAACAGCCAATCATTCAAACGTCTTTATAGCAAACCAAAGCTACTCTCACGTGGTTTTACCCGCTGCTCGGCTCCAACAGATCGTGGCGTGATGTCTTATAGCCTATAGCACTCAGGAACATTGTAACTATCTGTCAGTGTAATAATTTTAGAAATCCGACCAGCTGTTCCAGCGACTTCCAACGATTAACCCCTACATACAAACTTACATATTCTCTATACTTAAGTATAGATAATCTCACCAATGCAATATGCTGAGATATTAAGTAAGTACTTATAAAGCACACAGACTGTTTACTACAACTATACACTAATAGGGGCATAGTGCCAACCAACGGATTTAAATACTTTCTGAGGCAGAAAGGCAAAACACCAGCAATATATTTTTATTTTTAAGTAGTAATATTAATATTGTTTGATAATATCCTCTTTGTAAATCTTATATTTTTTTTTTATTATTTGACACCGTTAGTTGGACCGAAACAAATAATAATTTACAAAACAACAATAATGGCAAAAAATCAATTCCATAAAAATATTATTTTTCGTATTAGAAGGAGAACATGGGGAGACACAACAAGGAGAAGAGTATCAAGAAGCTGATGAAGAAGGAGAATACGAAGGTGAGGCAGAAGAAGAAGAGTCTATACTGACATTGTATGACCCGGACGACTACATCTCGGGGGCAGTCACGAGCCCACAGACAACTATTCCGGCCGATATATTCCAATTCGAGTATCCTTTTCATGCAATAACGTTACCTATTTATGAACTTATTGATGGCCATAGACGCTACTCACGATCTGGGTATAGATATGTGCAGTTTTTTGAGGAGGATAAATCGTGACGACGTAAAATGACGATTCTTCTACCATGCATGGGGCGAGATAAAGTGTCAGACTGAATAAAAACCACTCTGTTTCGACCTGGGGCCGCGGTACATTGGGTTAAGCAACAACAGACAGTAAGGGTACATTCGCATTGGCTATTGTAATATAAGTATCTATATACATAGGTACATTGTATTAGCTTTTGTAATATAACTTTTTAAAAATATAAACCAATATTATAAATGCAAAAGTAACTTTGTCTGTCTATCTATTCTTCACGCTTAAACTACTCGACCGATTTCTGGGCAATTTGGTACAGACATAGTTTGGAACTCGAGAAAGGACATGGTATAGTTTTTATATCAAAATTCTGCAGGAAGTGACTATTCCATGCGAACGGAGTTGCGAGCAAAAGCTAGTGTTTTTTATAATTAAAACTTTGATTTAACTTAATGTGTTGGTGAACGTGGGTACTGAACCAATGTAATTTTCCCCAAATATTGATAAGTGAGAATTTTCCTTATAATAACAAAGATATTCGTACGGATACAACTGTCATAAGTTTTTTAATCTCTGCGCTTGCGACGATATGGTCGTATGCTATTCATCGGGCAGCATGATCACATTCTTAGACGTGCACACGAAACAGACATGGTTCCGACGAAGCACTACCGGAGGAACTGTTGGAAGTATTACGGTAAAATCTTGAATTAATATTTTTAGGTACTTACCTGTTCGACTATTGGTTATTTCTGTAGAACACAAAGAATTGTTCGTTTGGAAATCGAACCCACGACACGTTGCATGGCACGCAGTTAGCCAGCCACCACGCCAACTTTGCAGTAACTGGAACATACTTATGCAAATAAAACGAAAGTTTCTTTATAGGTGATGTGTTTCATTTTGTTTATTGTATGTTTTATTAACATGTACTTGTTGTTTTTTAGTCCTACAGAAAAGACCCTAATTACCGTTTAGTGATAGCAGAGGATAGAGAAGGTGACCAGGATCCAATAATAATATTGTACACATGGCCTCAAATGGAAATGGATGCGGTACTTCGTGATGGTACCGCGAATGGATATGCTTGTCTTGATTTTAGGTAATCATATAAATTCGTTCATCCTTTTTACCTTTAATTTTGGTTTAAATTCGTTTGTGAATAGTTAAACTTATACTATTTTTAATTAATTAGCTAACATATTTACCTTTAGTCCCGATGGAGAACTTTTAGCGTCTGTGGGCAAGGAACCAGATTTCAATTTGACTATCTGGAACTGGAAACGTCATAAGATTCTTCTGCGCACTAGTGCTTTTACATACGGAGTTCATGCCGTCATGTTTTCGCCATACTGTGAAGGGCAACTTACAACTTCAGGTAATTTTGTGGTTTCAACTGTTCTCGTGTTGAGATGAGTACGTTGTCTTTGTAAAAGTACTTAGGATCTAATAACGTTCTTAGGCGCTGCGCATATAAAATTTTGGAAAATGGCAGAAACCTTCACTGGTCTCAAATTGAAAGGCGAGCTTGGTAGATTCGGAAAAACTGAAATTTGTGATGTCCTTGGCGTTTATCCAATGCCTGACGAGAAGGTAATAAAGCGACTTTTTTATATATGAACGACTTTTTCAAATTCTGATTCAAAGTCTTTAGCAGCATTCCATATGTTAAAAGGCAGGTGGTGCATTTAGACGTGGTTACAATTCTGTTATTATATTTTCAGGTACTATCGGGATGTGAATGGGGTAACATTTTGGTTTGGGAAGCTGGCCTCGTCAAACTAGAAGTGACGCAGAGAGGAAGAAAAATGTGTCATCAGGCTCCGATTGTGAGTTCTTACAAATACATACTATACATGAATCATCTCTGTAGTCTCAAACGCTCACACTATCACACTGTTTATAAACTTTCCAGATCCAATTTATGTTGAGCGAAGCTGGTGATGAAGTGACAACGATAGCTCGCGATGGCTGTGTCCGTGCGTGGTACTGGGACACTGTAGATCAAGCTGACCCTCCAGAAGACGACCCTTTCGTTGAACTTAACCCTGTAGCTGAGACTTGTGTACGTATTCTAGATTTTCGTATATTAAATTCTTGGATGCATCTTTCTCTCTTACACAAGTATAAACTACCCCGTTCCTTCTCTTTCTCCAAGTCTGTGAACTATGCGCTACCGAAGCGCGGCCTCGTTCTTGCCGATGCGTGAGGGGGCAAAGGGTGCGGTTCTTTGCTGGTGGCTTTGCACGATTCATGCATGCACGATCCGAACATTGCCCGCCCTAATACAATAATAGAATTAGAGCTACAATTATTACAAATATTTAACATTATTGATCCGGCCGCGGCTTATTGATATATCATGTTCTAAAATGTATACACTCCAGATTGCTTATCCTGAAAAATTCTTCTAAAGTCTGTAAATTAAATTGTGATAATGTGAATATTCTTTTCACTTATCAAGCATTTTAGAAAACAAAAAGAAAACAGAAACATGCTCCGTTACTTTTCCTATTCCGAACCGGGAAATAGACCAAAATAAAACTAGTGAATGTGATTCTGTTAAAAATGCTCGCAATCATATATGTTACCAGCCGTCGTAGAACATTCATATCCCATTTTAATTACCGCCATGTTAAGCGATGACGTCTTATTACAGGTGCCAGGTTGCCAAATAATGTCCTTGAAACACAAAAAAGACTTGTTGTGGTATGCCCAGGTGAGAATTTGAAGAATTTTCTCAATGAACTCTTGGATAGGCTTCTGAAGTATAATTCTTCTTTCTACAGGACGGCAATGGAGGAATATGGGTTGTTGAATTAGACATTGATAAGATAGAATGTGACCATCGAAGAGTGACCACGTGTCATGCTGGAGGTATTGTTGCGATGGCGGCGTTGAGGACGCATCCAATCCTGATCACGGCAGGAGAGGACGGAGCATTGCATGCCTACCACACAGAAAAACATGTTCTGCTTGCGCGATATGTTTTCCCTAATCCAATTACTGCTCTTCTTTATCCTCCCTTGGATGTGAGTAGTATTATTATTTTATTGTGTTATTTATGTGATAGGACGACACACGAGCACACGGATTACCTGATGGTAATAATAATCAGCGCCGCCCATGGACACCCATAACAACAGAGGAGTTACGAGCAAGTTGCCGACATGTTGGGGATTAGGGTTTAGGAGATTCAGGAATTGGGGATAGATTGGAGGAGGGGAACGATTGGGCCACCTCCCAATTTCTTCTCATGTCCTAAAAATTGTAACCTCACTCCAACGGCAAATTGGATGAAGCCTTACCTTATTACGCAGGTTGATGAAACTTCACGCATTTTGATACTGGGTTTTCAAGATGGCATAATGCGGACTTTGCTGTTATACCCTGACAGAATCCAAGGTCAGAAGGACATGATCGATATACGGGTGCACTCAGCATTAACCATCCATAGTGACGACTCCGATACTGCTGATGTTATAGATTTAATATCGGTGAGATGAACATATTCTATTAAAAAAGAAAATTTGTAGTATAACTTTGAGCACGTAATGTCTCCATAAATTTTCATAATTGTTTTTATAATAACTATCGTGAGCCATACTAAATTAACTAAAAATCGCGGGTCACTCACGTGTCTATCTTGAGAAAAGCTCTACTAGTTTCGAACCACAGAGGGGTTCTTCCTCATAAGCAGAGTGGCGGACGCGGCGACGTCGCGCAGTCTACTGTAGGAAACTAGTAGAGCTTTTCTCAAGATGTGAGTGACCCGCGATTTTTAGTTATTTTTCATAATTAATATTTTGGTATTTTTGCAGCTACTTAAACCACACTCGAAAGCAATAACTCAAATAACGATAAATATCCAGCGAACTTTACTGGTGACATGTGGGGAGGATAGCACTATATTCATTTATTTATTAAATAGAGGTTCGCCCTTTACACTTGAAAGAATCGGTTTTGTTGAAACGCCTAACAACATCGCTTTTATGACCTGGAAACCTGATTCAGTGAGTAAAGCAATATTAGTTCGACCATTACTATAATATAAGCACCCACTTTCAGAATTATATTAAGACAATTTTGCTACTTAAGGTCCAGTCCACTCCACGTTTGATCCATGGTGCACCTCAACTTTTTTTGACATAATTGAGCAACAAACACGCCTATTACCTCATAGTAAGCGATCCACCACCCTTGAGCACTCATAATATTAAAGGAGTTACTGCAAGTGCTTTGCGGGCCACTTACGGGTTATTAGAGATTTAAGGATAGGGGATTTGAGGATTTCGGATTGGGGGAAAAGAATTGAGTCTCCGGTAACCTCACTCAGATAGCAAACCACAACGTCAGTGTTGTTTCATGCCCATATTCTGTGAGGTTGTGGAATTAATCCGGTTCAGTCGTCCCATTCGTGCCGAAGCATGGCTCTCCCACACTTAATTGCCTGTGGATGCAACACCCACTTTTTTATGTAAACCTCCTTTAAAACATCTCAATCTATCTTTCAATTGAAGAAGATTGATTCTTTGATTAAAATCTTATTACTGGAAATTGCCTCTGTTTATTGACTTCAAATTTTTAGGATCGAGTGCTCCTGTTATGTGGTCAAGTTGGCCTGATAATGGAAGCTGTACTACCGGAGCCAATAGTTCGCAATTACACTGACATTAAAACCTTTAAGCTAGAGTTTGAATCCTATAAAGAAACCTTAGTGAAAAAGCACTTGTAAGTACAAACTGGTCGTTTTTCATTTACCTATTTATTATCAGCTACGGTATCTTTTTCCATAGGAAACGATCGACTTTTCATATTATTTGATCAAAAAATGTGTACACTAAATTCGTACTCTTTAGTATGCGCCATCAACCTTTTCCGGAAGAAGAGGATCTCGCTAGTATTGATGAAGAGGCTCTGAAGGCTAAAGAAGAGGCTGAACTTCGAGATGATGAAGACGAAGGCGAATGGATCGGCGAAATCGAGCTAAGTAAGTTGCTTATTCAATATTGTATTGCGTGTGTGTGTATGCCCCATGTTTTTATTATTCTTACGTGTTGCCGATTTAAGAATTATCTTAAATGATTCTTCTGTTTCGTAAAATATTTGAAATGGTTTTAGTGGAAAGTGAGAGCATGCTGGGCACAACGATTACTTGGGCCGAATACTGTGAGGAAGGTGTATGGATTGTTCAACAAGGGACAGGAGCTTTACTTCTCATCCAACCAGGCAGCAACAAAATAATGAAGTATGCACCTTTTCCTGGGGCCTGGTGTGAAGATATAACAGCATTAAGATTTGTGTAAGTGAATATTGTATTCATCAAAGTTATTATTTACAAAAGTTTATCATACTGCTGCATTCAACGAGGTCAGCTTTTTTTCTTATGTAGTAAGAACCATAAATCAGTACCTTCGGGTCTGCGGATGGACTAGGACAGACTATCAAAGGCACCTCGACAGATCCAGATCCGAGCATACATCGCGTAGCGTTCGGCGCATGCCTCAAATAGCCAGTAGACCACCACATACGGAGCCCAACAAGGCAATGTTTAGCCGGATTTGCTCGGCCTGAAGTATGAGAAGGAACCGTTTTTAGTCAGTGAGAGTCTGACACTCCCTCAATCTTTCCCCGACAGAAGTCATTTGTCAACTTTCCCAACTCAAAAATACAAAAGCGCCTTACGTGCTAAAATGTACAAGTGATTTTAAAACCTAATCTTTTTTTAACAGATGTGACGGGCGTTACCTATTGGTAGGAACAAATACTGGATACATCCGCATGGTTCGCATGCCAACTGAGGAGGAAGACAACCCTCAACATCATTTAAACCTATGGTTACTCGCACAACAGAAGCTACTACGAAAACTTAAGGGCAGAAGACTGGCTAAAGAACAGGTTTTTCTTTCACTGATATACATATTTAGCTATGTATAGTCTAAAAATACTGAGAAAGGGCAATAGATTAAAACATAATTATGCTATATTTAAATTGCACTACCACAGTTCTAGCTGTTTTTAATCACAATATTTTTTGGATGATAATTCTAATTTCAAATTCATATTATTCAAAAAACTGGGATGGAATTCCATTGGATTGGTTTCTTATTCTGTGCGCCATCGCTATGACGCGCACGCTCCTCATGAATAAGAATCCCGTTGTTAGTTGAAACTAGTAGAGCTTTTCTGGCTTCGTTGACGTATGTTTCTCATTATTTTCAATAAATTTAGTATGCCTCATGTCGTTACTATTGAAAACAGATTTTTGCATTGACTTGCAAATTCAAATGAATAGTTGAAGTTGACGTGATTTATTTTTAGAGTTCATACTGCGATGATTAAAGTATTACACCTTACTTTCAGTTACAACCAATCCCTCGAATTGATTTCATAGATCACTATTACTTGCCGATGCATGACCGCTATACTGGGGCTATCACTGGCCTGGAATTTAACAACGATTCGAGGTGAGAACTTTTAACAATGAAAGTTTTTTACTTTGGTAATGCAGTGTAAGTAATTGTTTGTCTATTTGCTTTTCCTAGTGCCCTGTACACCGCTGGACGTGACGGAAATATTTTCTCTTTTGTCATCAACTTTCCAGAACAATTGTTACCTACACCAGAGCTTCCAACACCTTTAGAAACCCTTGTAAGTAAAACAATATAATAATAATTAAATCAGTAAGTTACGTATTACAATAATGTGTGAAATGAACAAGTTCTTGTTTCATAACAGAAGGTAGAAAAAGCAAAAGAACACAGCACACTAGAAGGCGAACTGATGTCTCATGAACAGCTCAAGCAGAAAGAAGAATTTGACAAAATGATGGCAATCGCTAATGCACATAAGAAACGTGTTCGCGACCAATTAGCTGTGCTAACAACTGAATACAACAAACTGATTAAAGCGTAAGTAACTCCAACTACTAATACAGGCGACTACATTATAAGTCATTAAATTTATAAATTGACATTCATCAGCATAATAAGTGCCCACTGCTGAGCATGGGCGTCTTCTCACTCGGAGAAGGGTTGAACATTATTTTTATAAACCACGATCGCTCAGGGCATGGTGACGCGGAGGTTAAGGCGCCCGCATCTCATGCAATACAGTGTAAGTTCGAAACCTGCGAAGTATCTACGTGACTTTTTCCAAGTTACATATGGTATTTTCTATGATAATTGAGACAGTCAGAGATCAGTGGTGAAGAAAAACATACAATACCAAAATTTCTATGTTTGAGATTACCTTTCTGCCAAGCGTAGTGATTAATGCTCAAACGTTCTCCGTGTCAGAAGAGGCCTTTGCTCAGCAGTGGGCACTTACAGGCTGATGATGTCATGTGATTATATGCTCAAGGCGGGTTGGTGTCTGAATACTAACAGAAAACTGTTGACTTCATATCCAACACTACAAACAACAATAAAAAACCCCGTCAACCACCTTATCACAGACTAAGGAACACAAGTGTTGAGTTACGCATATCTTGTTTTAGGAACAAAGCACTACCAGTGTCTCAACAAATAGACGTCACCCTCGACACGCGACCCCTGCAAGTGCAAGAAAAAGAGCTGGAAGATGCCAAAGCCCTTACTAAAAGGAAATTAGCACATCAGCTGGAGGCTTCCGATTTGGCTCTAGCAAAGATGCATTCCAGGAATATCATACAGTTGGACGTGTTTCCTTTCGCCGTTAGAGCTATCGGGTTAGTTTCTTATATTCTACGACTATCTATTTATCATATGGATACTATAGATAGACTTTGTACTGTGTAAATACAGTCCTAGTGGTAGTTTCCAACTAACCAAATTCAATACTTTTATCCAAACGTCAAAAACGCTACTTTTCTATGAAATTTGTATGAAAAGCTAAGTTATGACGTCAAATTATTTTGCGTCAAATAGATAGCTTACTGTATTCTTAAAAAATAGTTAATGTCTAAAATTAAGTGTATCGATCGATTGATGAATAAAAATATAATTATGTTTCAATATTTGATTGTAAAGAAAAGTCAAATTAATTTATTTTTGACCTAGGAAACAACCCAATTAGTGGTATTACAAAAGCGGACTGCAAAGTTTTCTTTAAAATTATTCAAACGAGGCGCTATACTATAGTTTGTCAAAGAAGTAAAAAAGAAAGTTGGGCCTTGTCGTAAAACTGAAAATATCAATTTACTCACGTGTATGAACTGAGAAAAGCTCTACTAGTTTAAAGTTACAGCGGGATTTTAATCCATGAGCAGCGTGAACATTGCGGCGACGTCTCGCAACCAACTGACAATTCATCATTTTATATACCTCATTTAGTATACTTTACTTCACGATAGTTACCCCACTTCTGCACTGAACGTTACTTGATCACAGTTCTTTTCGTCAGGCCATATGACGTCTATGTTGAATTCTTAATCTTTCTTTCTTTTCTGTCATACAGAAATCCAAACATAATTATTAGACCATTACGACAAAAGAATCTCTCGGCTGCTTTCTATGCACAATTGGAAGAAGTATACCAGCAAATGGCAGATGCCGCCCAGAAGGGAAGGTAATATCAATAATTAATTTGATTTGGAAGGATTTACCTAAAAGTGTGCTTTATTTTATTGTTTTAATGTGTATTTTGGAAATGTACATGCTGCGTAGGGATATGAATTTATTGGAATTAGCTGAACAAGAATTGAAGTAAGTAACCCATTTAAATGTATTATGAAGGTATTTTACCACGCCATATAACATAACAATTTTATTCTATGCAGTCTTAAGTGTTAGAAGTTATTTACTCGTTCACGAATATTGTGTGTGAAATAGTTTTCTTCTTTATTTTTCTGTGTATATCTCCCCCTCTCTATTCTTCTTAACCAGAATTTTACCTCTGCTAAACGAAAACTGAAATGTTATCGTTTGCTTTTGCACGTATCTATTGAAACATTTTGCTACAACTAATTATATCCGAGCAGCGATTGAAACTGCGCAGGAGTGTCTTGTTTATTATATACACCTACTAAGATATCACCTCCTAACCAAGCCACCGCCAGAGTGTCTGGATACAGACAAAGTTACACAGGCACAGTTTACAGAAACCAGTCACTGCCTACAGCTGGATTATAGACCTTCTCTACTCGAGAAGGTCGACCAAAATCTCCATACTTCTTCATATATTTGTATAAAATACTTTTTTAATCTAGACGCACTGAGTCAGCGGTTCGTCGGGTGGGAACGCGAAAGGCATCGTACGGACCTCCGAGAGTAGCTTCGTTCTTACTAGGCTTGCCATCAAAGCCTCCGTACCCTCTAAAGAAAGCCCTGAAAAACTACCACGCTCGCCTAAACAGACACCATTTGCAGTATATAGAGGTGTGTAAATAAAATTTTCATATTATTCAAATCATGAAGATGATATTGTATGTCCAAAAATTTTTTGAAGAACAAACGCCATGATTCCGTGCACAATAAAAATAACACGTAGTAAATATGTCGTACCCAACTGGGTAAAATAGCCGTTCCATCAATCAGCTAGCTCTTTGACCGCCGCATAATTTGATTATTTGTTGTCTGTCTGTCTAATCTGTTTATTTGCGACGGCGATTTGATTTCTGTGCGGTTCACAGTTCCAACCTAACCTTATCTACCATTCTGGTAGCAACTCGGTTTTCATGAAAATCCCTCCACCCTTCAATTTACAACCTCAATGAGAAATTTAGCCATTCAATCCAACTACTATTCATTCTATTCAGGCCGTTAGTTGGGTGCCTAATTCAACTATTTAGCTGCGACACATAGATACTTACTGTTATGTCTATTTTTTTGCGTATCTGGTATTTTTTGTTATATGTAGTGGCAAGAACATTTGAACCGTAAACCTGACCCAAACGCTATGCCCCCTGGAGCTGCTGAAGCGTTGAAAGAAGCTGAAGCTACCATCGGCAACCGCATACTGAAGACAGAACCTGAATACGTTGCTTCGCCTGGTCATAATACGCAGATGCGAGTCTGTCTCTGCAGGAAAGAGGTCAGTCTTTAAATGTCGTAGAGCATGTATTTAAAATGAAGTTTATATAAACATAAACAATATAACAAATAAATAAATAAATAAAAAATAAATAAAACAAATAATAAATGCCACAATCTGAGCAGTTTAAAATTGGTTCCGGAACGAACGAAACAGTCGAGCCGACTGATTCGTGCTCAAGCTTGGCTCTCCCACACTGAATTCTAATGTACCTACTTGTAAGATTAATTGAATTGTTTTTTTCTTAGGTCTACGATTTAAAACATGAATTCAACGAAAAGGTATTAGAGCTACGGAGTCGTAAAGTGCAAATGGTACAACGTATGAAGGAGATAGGAGATCGACTGTCCGAGATTCGAATAGAGATACCGCCTAAATTAGTTAAACCACCGCCGCCCTTGCCACAATTTGACGATGAATTAGAATTTCCTGAGAGACACCTTGAAGTTAGTATACCTATCTACTACTGTAAACTATAATTGGCCGCAGCTTCCCCGCGAGGTATGTTGATAAAAAGCAGCCTACATGTTAATCCAGGGTGTCAACTGTAGTCTACATACCACTAACCACAACCAAATCGGTCTAGCCGTTTTTACAATTTACAATATTAAGTTGGATATTAGTAAGATAGTAGGGTATTAAGAAGTAGGATATATCCTTCTTATATATCCTGTTTCGTAATTATAATTACGAAACAGAATAAAATAAACTACCTACTTAATTAAAAAAAACAACTTTTATTAATGTATATTACTTACCTACCCACTATTAGTTTAAAAGTCGTTTCCGCACTCAAATTTTGTAACGTTTTTCAACAATGATTCAAATTGAACTTTTTAAATTGCCACTGACACCCCTGGTGAAAATATTGTGACGCCCACATGAGGGAAGCATATCAAGCGTTAGATTTTTTCTGAACGCAAGTAAAATTAAAAAAAAAAATTCTCAATAAAAAATATGCATATGCAGAGCGTAGAGCACAATTTCTGAGGGTTTGCACCAAGAGACAAGAGACTCCAACTTCAGACCTGGGCGCCCCCCAGAGTTTTTCGCCCTGGGCCATCGCCCCATCAAGCCCTATCCCCCCCTAACGCCGTCTCTGTTGAATTGAATGGCAATAAAAGAGAAACAATCTTTGGGACTTGTTACCATTATTGGAACTTCTTGAGTTCGTTTCGAGTACCTGCGATGAAACTGTGAGATGATCTAAAATTAAAGTACGTGTGTACGGGTTAAATAATCACTAAAAGGACTTTATAAACTAACCAACAAATGTTTGATTTGAAGGTAAAACCTGAACCAATAAACCCAACGAGCAGACTTCCACAAAAGAAAGGGCAACAAGGACCGGAGCGCAGGAGAGCCTCCGTCAATGTAACTGCGAGAATACGGCAGCCAAGAGTTAACAGATTTGTACCCGTGACTGGTAAAGTATTATAAAGTAGTGACAGAACTTAAACAATTGTTTCTTAAGTATATAATGGAACAAATACATATATTTATATATGATACAATCTTTAATAAACAGTATTTAAGTATTTTTGGTGATAGATTGTATGATCTTAATTTTTAAACATATTTATATTTATTAGTAGCTGTTACTTTAGTTACACTTACTTGCTGACGAGAGACTGTTAAAGCCCTTTTATTATGTTTGACCTTGACTTTACTTTTAGTTCTCTTTTACCAACACTCTTCAGAAAGCTCATCTCTGGAGGCGCATACAACGTCTACAAAATACCTACAGCAAACAGATTTATTAGCTAATTGTTATTGAACTAGTAATATGTGTCTATTTTAACTGGACTATAAACGTCGTCGATGATTTATTTCAGATATAAAACCCCTTTATGCATCATGGGAACTCTTGAGACAGAGACCGGATCATGAATCGAGCCCTATAGAAAATGAAATTCGTGAGAGACGTATAGAAAGGTGAATTTGTACAATAATTTAATGAATATTCTGTTTTAGTTATTAAGTATATTTATAACCTAGTGCCCTGTCTCTATAGGTTAATTAACCGTCAAAAACCCGGTTGGAGTGTAGCCTTAGGGGCACTATGGAGCAAGGACTTAGAAAAATTTTCGTATTTTTTTTTTTTTTTAATTTGCCGATTTTTTTTGCAGAATCGGTTTGACCTTGCCTGCAGCAACCATTTACGACCTGAGAAGCATGGTCCTCCGACGCACCGTTTCCGAGTTATGGGCCATTTTCATTTTTCGTATTTTTAGGAAATGGTTTATATTTCCAAAATGGTAGCTCGGATGAGATTGTTTTCGGGAAAGAAATTGTTGCTCCACTCGAAACCCATGACATCGTGTACAAAAAACCAGCAAAATTGAGAAAAAAAAAACAACATGAAAAATTTTCTAAGTGTCGATCGTCGGCTTCAGCTAGAGTATTGTTAGGGGCGCAGGACTTAGTCAAATTTTTGGGAGTTTTTTTTTTGTCGAATTCGACCATTTTTATTGCAGCAACTGATTTTGTGACTCCTTAGAAAGCGTTTACGACCTGAGAAGCATGGTTCTCCGACGCACCGTTTCCGAGTTATGGGCCATTTTCATTTTTCGTATTTTTAGGAAATGGTTTTACTACTACGCAACGTGAAGTCCCAAAAAAATTTTTTTTAGGAAAAAAATTTTTTTTTGTTTTCTTTGCTGCTCATAGTGCCCCTAAGCGTATACTCCAACTCCTACAACTCCGCCCCTAAGACGACCCACTGACCTGTTTAATTCATTAATACTCAAAATGCCAGCGTTTTCGCACGTATTGTTTTTCTATTGTGCCTCGAATTGCAAATATATAGTTATATTTATAGATAGGACTAATTTATTTACAGCATTACGATATTCATTGAGCTGGACGAGTTATCTAACCCATAACAATACATAATAGTACTAAGTAGTAAAAATTGTCCCAACAACGTTGTTGACTTTGCAAAAACTTCGCAGACATCTTTATGAGCAAGATATGCTCCTCCTGGACGCAGACAGACAAGTGCGGCTATTTGACACCCGACTGAAAGAACTACAACGGGAGCGTGTGAGGGTTCAGGTATCTTTATATTTGGTTATTAAGTTTTTTAACACAAAGCAGCTAAAAGAGTGGCACTATCTCATCTACGTACGTACTGTTATAGGCTCCCATCCTTCGCCTATTTGCTAACTAAGTCCTGACTTCACTCCCCTCTCCTTCCAAGCTATCTCCTTACACACCTCCATCCACCATCAACCTCTCCTCAGTCTACATCCATATCCCAATCCAGACGGTTGTCTTATAAAAATCCAATTTTCATTTTATTTTCTAGTTTAAAATAATTTTTATTTTTTTTAAAGACTTAACAAAGTCCGTATATGTACGTAAGTATGGCGCTTAGCGTTCCGAGCGCGCCTCAAAGGGTCAATACTCGTATACCACCACGGACTAATATAACTAAGACCAACAGGATCGATGTTCAGTCGGGTCGCGGGGCAAGCGCAGTAAGTAAACTTCTTTCGTCAAGAGTGAGACGAGAGGGAGTTTCAGTCTCTTACTGACTAAAATACCCCCGTTCCTTCTCCTGCTGTAAGCCGAGGCCGCGGTACTTTATTGCGATTACTGTGCAACCCCGGCTGAATGAGGCAAATGTATTAAAATTATTATTTTAAGTACTTTGTATTTCTTATAAATCAAAGTTATTTTTCAGGAAAAGAACCAATTGCTGGAGCTCCATTTATATCAATTGCACAGAGAAATGAACGTTTTGAACAAGTTTGAAATGCATGAAGATCGCTTAGCTGAACGAGTTTATGTAAAATTGATGCAGGTGACAATTTTATTTTACTTACCTTCCTATGTAAGGACCATATGTAACCAATAAATAATACTTAAATTCAATACTTTCATTGAAATGTCATAAACAATAAACAGACTGTGACGTCAGCCGTCAAAATATTTCATAGTCAAATATTAATTTCTTAAATAACCTACCTAATATTTTATATAAAATTAAAAGTATAAAAACCCCGACCAAAAAAATGTACACTATTATGGGATAAGGTTCCCAAACCCAAAATGCCAAACCCTATGAAAAGCAAACTTGCAAGTAAACTGAGTGTGTTACATTCCTATCACACCCAACAACGACTGATAACCTTGAAGACCTTAACCGATGTCCACCAAACATGGCTATAGCTCACGACAGATATAGCTTTCAAACAAAAAAAAACGCAATCGGATTAAAATCGGATCATCTATTTGAGAGCTAAAATGTTACAGACAGATGCACAAACAGATACGTAAAACTTATAGCACTCCGTAGTTTTTGCGTAGAGGTTTAAAAAAGTTACTAAAATAAAGTAATAAATAATTTAATGAAGGAAATACGATTTTATTGAAAAGTTGAAATCATAAATTTTAGGTTGAGGCAAATACAAAATTGAAATATTGAAAAAAATTAACTTAATTGAAATATGAAATAAGAAAAACCTAAAATTAATGATATAGACTATGTAGGTACTAAAAATATCATTATAACATTTTATGAACAACAATTGGCATTCCTGGACTCCAGGTCCGAGCAGTACAAGAGCAGATAATAGACTGTGAGCGCCGCATCGAAGAGCATATTGCTGAGAAGGATAACCTGGACGCAATCTGTCAGGATCTGCAAAGGAAATTCAAACGTCTCGTACAAGACAATAAGTTTGCTGATTTCCTCCGAAGAATATTCAAAAAGAAATATCGCCCACCACGTATCCGTGACGAGGATGGTAAGTTAGATATTTTGATAATGTAATGGATATAAAATAAATGCAGCCTTTTTATTAATTTTTCTTACAGATTGTCTGCGATTTCTAATAAATTTATCTCTATCTCTATCTCTATCTCTATCTCTATCTCTATCTCTATCTCTATCTCTATCTCTATCTCTATCTCTATCTCTATCTCTATCTCTATCTCTATCTCTATCTCTATCTCTATCTCTATCTCTATCTCTATCTCTATCTCTATCTCTATCTCTATCTCTATCTCTATCTCTATCTCTATCTCTATCTCTATCTCTATCTCTATCTCTATCTCTATCTCTATCTCTATCTCTATCTCTATCTCTATCTCTATCTCTATCTCTATCTCTATCTCTATCTCTATCTCTATCTCTATCTCTATCTCTATCTCTATCTCTATCTCTATCTCTATCTCTATCTCTATCTCTATCTCTATCTCTATCTCTATCTCTATCTCTATCTCTATCTCTATCTCTATCTCTATCTCTATCTCTATCCCTATCCCTATCCCTATCTCTATCTTCGCCTTCGCCTTCGCCTTCGCCTTCGCCTTCGCCTTCGCCTTCACCTTCACCTTCACTTTCACTTTCACTTTCACCTTCACCTGCACCTTCACCTTCACCTTCACCTTCACCTTCACCTTCAACTTCACCTTCATCTTCACCTTTACCTTTACCTTTACCTTTACCTTCATCTTCACCTTCACCTTCACCTGCTCCTGCACCTTCACCCTCACCTTCACCTGCACCTTCACCCTCACCTTCGCCATCACCTTCATCTTCACCTTCATCTTCACCTTCTTCTTCACCTTCATCTTCACCTTCACCTTCACCTTCACCTTTACCTTCACCTTCACCTTCACCTTCACCTTCACTTTCACTTTCACTTTCACCTTCGCCTGCACCTTCACCTTCACCTTCACCTTCACCTTCACCTCCACCTTCACCTTCACCTTCACCTTCATACCTTCACCACCTTCACCTCCACCTTCACCTTCACCTTCATTTACAACATCATCTTCATCTTCACCTTCACCTGCACCTTCACCTTCATCTTCACCTTCATCTTCACCTTCATCTTCACCTTCACCTTCACCTTCACCTTTACCTTCACCTTCACCTTCACCTTCACCTTCACCTTCACTTTCACTTTCACTTTCACCTTCGCCTGCACCTTCACCTTCACCTTCACCTTCACCTTCACCTCCACCTTCACCTTCACCTTCACCTTCATACCTTCACCACCTTCACCTCCACCTTCACCTTCACCTTCATTTACAACATCATCTTCATCTTCACCTTCACCTGCACCTTCACCTTCACCCTCACCTTCACCTTCACCTTCACCTTCACCTTCATCTTCACCTTCATCTTCACCTTTACCTTCATTTACACCTTCATCTTCACCTTCACCTTCGCCTTCACCTTCATCTTCACCTTCATCTTCACCTTCATCTTCACCTTCACCTTCACCTTCACCTTCACCTTCACCTTCACCTTCACCTGCACCTGCACCTTCACCCTCACCTTCACCTGCACCTTCACCCTCACCTTCACCTTCACCTTCACCTTCATCTTCACCTTTACCTTCATTTACACCTTCATCGTCACCTTCACCTTCGCCTTCACCTTCATCTTCACCTTCATCTTCACCTTCATCTTCACCTTCACCTTCACCTTCACCTTCACCTTCACCTTCACCTTCACCATCACCTTCACCTTCACCTTCACCTTCATTTACACCTTCACCTTCATTTACACCTTCACCTTCACCTTCACCTTCACCTTCATTTACACCTTCGCCTTCTACTTCACCTTTATCTTCACCTTCATCTTCACCTTCACCTTCACCTTCACCTTCACCTTCACCTTCACCATCACCTTCACCTTCACCTTCACCTTCACCTTCATTTACACCTTCACCTTCACCTTCATTTACACCTTGGCCTTCTACTTCACCTTTATCTTCACCTTCATCTTCACCTTCATGTTCACCTTACAGATTGTCTGCGATTTCTAATAAATTTATCTCTATCTCTATCTCTATCTCTATCTCTATCTCTATCTCTATCTCTATCTCTATCTCTATCTCTATCTCTATCTCTATCTCTATCTCTATCTCTATCTCTATCTCTATCTCTATCTCTATCTCTATCTCTATCTCTATCTCTATCTCTATCTCTATCTCTATCTCTATCTCTATCTCTATCTCTATCTCTATCTCTATCTCTATCTCTATCTCTATCTCTATCTCTATCTCTATCTCTATCTCTATCTCTATCTTCGCCTTCGCCTTCGCCTTCGCCTTCGCCTTCGCCTTCGCCTTCGCCTTCGCCTTCGCCTTCGCCTTCGCCTTCGCCTTCGCCTTCGCCTTCGCCTTCGCCTTCGCCTTCGCCTTCGCCTTCGCCTTCGCCTTCGCCTTCGCCTTCGCCTTCGCCTTCGCCTTCGCCTTCGCCTTCGCCTTCGCCTTCGCCTTCACCTTCACCTTCACCTTCACCTTCACCTTCACCTTCACCTTCACCTTCACCTTCACCTTCACCTTCACCTTCACCTTCACCTTCACCTTCAACTTCACCTTCACCTTCACCTTCACCTTCACCTTCAACTTCAACTTCACCTTCACCTTCACCTTCAACTTCAACTTCACCTTCACCTTCAACTTCAACTTCACCTTCAACTTCACCTTCACCTTCACCTTCACCTTCGCCTTCGCCTTCACCTTCACCTTCACCTTCACTTTCACTTTCACTTTCACCTTCACCTGCACCTTCACCTTCACCTTCACCTTCATCTTCACCTTCACCTTCACCTTCATCTTCACCTTCACCTTCACCTTCACCTTCACCTTCACCTGCTCCTGCACCTTCACCCTCACCTTCACCTGCACCTTCACCCTCACCTTCACCTTCACCTTCACCTTCACCTTCATCTTCACCTTCATCTTCACCTTCATCTTCACCTTTACCTTCATTTACACCTTCATCGTCACCTTCACCTTCGCCTTCACCTTCACATTCACCTCCACCTTCACCTTCACCTTCACCTTCACCTTCACCTCCATCTTCATCTTCACCTTCATCTTCACCTTCATCTTCACCTTCATCTTCACCTTCATCTTCACCTTCATCTTCAACTTCACCTTCACCTTCACCTTCACCTTCATCTTCACCTTCATTTACAACATCATCTTCACCTTCATCTTCACCTTCATCTTCACCTTCATCTTCACCTTCATCTTCACCTTCATCTTCACCTTCATCTTCACCTTCATCTTCACCTTCATCTTCACCTTCATCTTCACCTTCATCTTCACCTTCATCTTCACCTTCATCTTCACCTTCATCTTCACCTTCATCTTCACCTTCATCTTCACCTTCATCTTCACCTTCATCTTCACCTTCATTTACACTTTCATCTTTACCTTCATCTTCACCTTCACCTTCATCTTCACCTTCATCTTCACCTTCATCTTCACCTTCATGTTCACCTTCATCTTCACCTTCATCTTCACCTTCACCTTCTTCATCTTCATCTTTATCTGGTAAACTCTTGGGATTACAATTACCCAGTTCATTTCCGATAATAATTATAATAACCTATTAAGTACATACCTTTTCTTTTCTTTTCTAGATTCTTCTGAATCCGAGTCATCGTCTTCGTCGAGTGAGGAAGAAGATGAAGGTAGTTTGGACAGTCGAGACATTGGACCGATACGCCTTGATCCCAATGTATGTCCTGAAGGATGCGACAGAGAAACCTATGACAAAACTTTCGAAATGAGAAATAACAGGTTTGTCAAATATATAATTGTTTCTAGATCTAATTACCATCAATTAAAATTATTGAAAGAAACACTGAGTCCAATTTTTCAAAAATATTCAAAAGCCCGATTCCTTTCAACAGGCACAAGCATGAACAGAATATGATGGAGCAAGATCGTCTGGTAGAACTTTTGAAGCGTGACATCGAGGCTCATAACAAAATCAAACGTAAACTTTCCGTGCAGTTAGAACGGAGAAAGAACGAACTTCGGGAATTTATGGTAAAGATCACGTTGATTTACGTTTTTAACATTTTTAGGAACTAGCTATACAAATAAAACGTTTCTTATTTATTTATGGCTGGTTTTGGTTCTTTTAGTTGGAGAAACAATCCTGTATGAATGAAGTAGCCACAGTAGTGGTCCTGCGATACGATCAGATCAGAGCAGCGGCTATCCGCGGCTGCACTGGTCCTCAGGGTCTGTCACAGGCCGTTGTATTCCCTGAAGCGTTGCTCAGTCGACTAAGAAAACGAGTGCTTGAACTTTTGGAAGAGATCAAAGAACAGAAGTTGAGACAAAAGTAAGGTCGTAAAAAACAACATACCTATTATAAAACAAGGTCGCTTTCTCTGTCCCTAAATCTATATTGTTACGTGCCTGACGTCACGTTCCTGACTATGCGGGCTTGGGTTACGGGATTGGATGAAATTAAACACTAATACCGGTTTTCAGACTTTCTATTGCACTTAAATGACAGCGTCCACCGAGTTAAGTTTTCGGCGTTCCTCTCCAGCAGAGTCCGGGCGACTGACACAAACTTCCGTTTGCCACTCACAGTTCACGCTGACTTTCACTTAACTCACTGCACATCACTATTTCACTCACTTTTCTTCTTTTTTCACTTCTTCCTTTTCTTCCGAATCGCTTTGGACTTAGAACTCGACTGCCAGCGGTGAGCCGCAGTTCCGCTTATATACCCCCGGTCAGGTTCTGGAACATTCAATTTCGTTATTCTTTTTTATCGTCATGCCTCCAGAACCTTCCAATAATTTCGTTATTCATTTCTATTTATTCTCCTTCTCGCTCTTTAATTTTTCATTTCTTTCACACAAATAATTCCAGAAAGTTCGACAAAAACTTCCATCAACTAAAAAACTTCATGCTTACGGCGGGACTCGAACTTGGGGTCTCTGTGGTGTAATCCACACGCCTTACCGATTACACCAACTCGTGTTGACAATTCACGACGAAATTTACAATCTCTAGGCAACGTTTGACAACCATCCATTGACAAAGAGTTTGAACCACTTTTCCGTCACAATATGTATGCCTAAATCTTTAAAATCCGCAACGGATTTTGGTGCGGTTTTTTATTAGAATGAGTGATTAAAGAAGAAAGTTCATGTGTTTTACCATAACCATTAAGTAATTCAACTAAATGATTAATAGTGACTATTGTTCAGGTACATTATTAAAAATGCAATACAGGTGCAAGTATTTGTCTTCAGGATAAACCGCACACACCTGTTCCGTATGAACGTAGACCTGCGAGCGATGGAGGCCGAGGCAACGGAGCTGCGCGCGCAGATGAGGGACGTGCTGACGCGCAAGCTGGGCCGGCCGCGCAAGGTGGACCGCACGCTCGACGACTTGCTGCGCCAGCTGGCGCGCCGACACAAGTACGCGGTCTCATACGCCACGCTGCCGCACGTTGTGACGCAGCTAAGGACCTGGAGCGTACGTAGACTCAATATCTAGGATTTCTCCCCAAAAGCTATCCGCCTCTTGGAAGTTTCAACCCGTCATCGAGAAGACAAAAAGCCGTCCAATTGCCAGTCGTCCATGCCATTGTCTGGGGAAACGAGCAAAATAACTACACTTATTGTATGAGTGTAAGCTAGACACAAGGTGACGGAAACACATAAATTGCAACTGTTCTCGAATTCAGAGTTTCATGCCATTGACTGGGTAAACGAACAAACAAACCACATTTACTGTATGAAAGTAAGCTAGACACGCAGTGACAGAAAGTACATAAATTGTGATTATTTCAACTATCGCACCGTTAAAGTTTAGTGACAGAAAAACGGACAGACAGTGAAGTTTTTACTATAGCATCCCCCCATTATTACAACTCGAGAGAGAAACCCTAAAAGGAGCTCACTGTAATCAGGCCAGTTACTCTTCAATCGATAAGATTGTATCGAGATTACAAAGTTGTTTTTACTGCTCATTAAAATAGGCACCAAATTACAAGTCTTCCATAGAGGAGTTAGGATAATTAAATAACAGTAGAATTATTCTATTCGCAACACAACTAACTTTACTAAATTTTACCTCCTATAAAGGTGTACGTACTTAATCGTTAAAATAATTTTCAGGAACGACACAGTTCACTCGAAAAGAAATATCTGGCAGCTCTGAATCATTATTCTGATCGCCTCCGAGTAGCAGCAGCGCTACAAGCACAAGTTCTGCCGCAAAAGGTTGGTATAAAACATTCTTATTTATCATCACTGCAAATTGAAATAACATTGAAGCTAGCCTATAAGTATGGGAGATCCAAGTATAATGGATTGGCTCGACCGGAGTGATACCATGGCCTCAAAGAAAACCGGCGTAAAACAACCAAAGCGTTGTGTTTCGCCGTGTGAGTGAGGTTACTAGAGGCCCGATCCCTTCCCCTCCCTTCATCCTTTCACAATCTTTAAATATCCGAAACCTTTATCCCTAAAAAGCCGGTAAAGCACTCGTAACTCCTGATTGGCGTTCATTAACATTGAGTCTTATTTAATCACCACAGCCTACGAAGGATCCTGTTGAAATGCCTGGTGGTTACAACCCGGAAGTGTATAAGCGCGACGTAATGCGCCTACTCATAGTGCGACAAAGACAAAATGAGCAAATCAAGGTACGTAAGCTAACAATTCCTTTTTTTTTATTATTAATTAATTAGAAGGCTTAAAAATGTTCTGGTTTTAATAATTATGTGCCTAGTATGTATATAATCTCAGTTACTTGCCATTAGATACGAATAAGGTGGTTTCCTCAGTCAAAATTTGTTTTTCAATTTATAAAAGCATTGATTAATAGTTACATAAAAAAACACTTTCGTTCATTCATTTTACGACTGACATATTTAATATTCGTATTAACTGCACGAGTAGTTGCTATTTGATATTTGGGAAAAAATATTGAATTTCACTAATCGGCAACTACCCTATATGTTGTTTACTTACATAATAATGTATGTTTCTTTGTAATAATTTATGTTTGAGATACTCAATAGCAGCTTCTATTATTGCAGTTTGAGTAAGCTCTTGAACTTTTGAAATATTGATTAACAAAAATGTAATTGTTATTAGCAACTACGAGAAGAGATTGCAAGTCTCCGACAGAAGCCGCTTTCCTATAGGGCTCCACATGCAACCTTCACACCTACTGAGCCAGAGCAATCGGACATTTACCTGTTCATGGTACCTCGGTCCCTTAAGCAACATCGGAGGAAATACTTCCCTATGTGAGTTTTGTGAGAATTACAAAGAAGAGATTTTATGTGTGACCCGATTGAAATTAAGTTTTTCTTGTTTTCCTTTTTGGTAACTGGAGGCCCAATCTTAAATCTCCTATTCGAAAATCCCTAACAACCAACAAGAGGCCGGAATCGCACTTGTAACAGTCCAGATTACTTTGGCCTTTGGTATAATGAGTGTCCATGGGCGCCTATTCCTGCTCGTTTGCTGACTTTACAACTTCTAAAGTAATTCTTATTTCATAACCCACAGAACGCCTTTAGGCTCAACAACGAAATTTTCACCTGAAGTAAATGTAACAACTCTTTTATACGACTGCCTTGATGCGATGCGTATCTCACGAGACGATGCGGAGCTCCTGTTGAGTGACGTCATCAATTTACTACCTGACGTTGTAACTGGGTTTGTATAACATTAATATTCTCGTAGTAGATACCACTTCTAGGAAACGTAGTGTTAGGCGTCCAGCTATATAGACTGGCGATATCCGAAGTGTGGCTGGAAGTGGTTGGAGAAGTGTTGAACATCGAGCTCAATGGCGTGAACTTGGGGAGGCCTATGTCCAGCAGTGGACGGAATCAGGCAGATGGTGATGACTGATGATGATGATAACGCATTCTCGTTATATATTATTTTTATTACTCTGCCTGCAGGTTTAGTTAAAGTCTATAGCCTCCATTACATTGTGCAATTTGCATATCACTAGAATCGAAAGTTGCAATGTACATAATGTTGACCAAGATCGGACAACACTATGAAACACCTGTACCTTTCGAGCTCCGATCCGTTACTCACCGGCCAAGCGTAAACATAAAGCAAACCCATATAATTATAGCAGTTAGAGTGCAGTAAACTGTCACGGTTTGAAATGGAGTTTATTTTATGAATCCTAGTTACAGTCATTGTACCCATGACAATAACAATTTTTGAGGATCATTCCAACAGTTATTTTTTGTTAACGATGCTTTATTACCATTTTTCGAAACAGAAAATGTTCTCGATACGAATTGGTTGATACTACCGTCCGAAAGTGGCTGTTGAAAGCTGGTGGCGACCCCACTCAGTACAAGACACAAACTCGAGCATTTGATGCTTTAGCTGCCTTAGCGGATCGTTTGGTCCGGCAACAAGTAAGTTTCATTTTAAAGTTATTAGGTATATTTATTATTGTTAAATGTTTTTAGCAAATCAATGACAACACAGCGCAAAACTCGAGTAAATTTCACCTCATTACTAATCATAAATACTGCTATATTTTTAATTAAAAGACCTAATGTACACGATGGAACGCAATAAAGTATTGACTAAATTGATACCTAGTAAGAGTACCTCGTTTGTTTAATAGTAAACTCCTACCTACCTTTCCTACATAGATACATAAATTCTAATTGAATGTTTAGATTGAAGTAATGGAAGCCCCGGATGATGCAGAAGGCATCATAGGTGATTTAGAAGATGCCCTCAGGGATATGACGGACGAATCGAATTCGCTAGCTGACCGACTCGGACCAGCCATCGCTACATTATTACATTCCGCACACTTCACGACTATGGGTAAATGACCGTCTAAGGCCGTACATCTGAACCAAACAGTACTTTATACCTACGTGTATAGATGATTAGGAAGCTAATACCTTCATTCATACAATTACAGAAGATCCTGAGACTCTCGCTTCTCTCGTGAAATCTGTCACGGATGAAAACCATCCCATTACTAAGGACAGTGTTGAGCGAATTTGTTCCTATGACGTCCTTCAAGATATTAAAGGTAAACCATAATAAGTACATAACAAACCTGTTGATATTTTCCACCATCCAGAATTTTCTAGCAGGTTCACTTAAATTAATATCCTTAAAATAATTACTAAGGTTACATAAGGTGCCTTCTTTCTTTCTTTTTTTTTTTGAATGTGTATCTAATATTTTTATATATTTTAATTAAACCTTACTTATCTAACCTATTAGTAATGTTTTGATTGCTTGTTTCATAAGAATGTGGTGTTGACCTGCCAACTGAAGAACTACAAAAAGTCGTGGAGTGTGCAATGGACGCTATTAGAGCTCAAATAGTCGAACCATCAGAAATTTCAGAAGTCCAAAAAGAAGTTCATAGGGTGTTGAAAGAGAAAGACATTGAGGCGGTAAGTCATTTTAAATGGATAATGGAGATTAGATATTCAATGAAAGTTATTTACAGGTGCCTTTTCAAATAAACATTTGAACCGTTTTCCAGATGATCAAGAAAAGCATCGTCAACACCTATTCAGATCGTAAAACACTTGATAGTGAAACGTCTTATATTCGTAAATGTAAATCTGTCGGAGATACAGATCCCAAATCAATTTTGACAACCGCGCCTACATCGGATCACAAAGGCTTACAAACCCGTGTATCTATAGCCACTCCAAATATCCTTGGTAAAAGTATGACTTTATCAGAGCATGATAAACACGAACCGTCTTCTTACCCAAAGAAGTTGAGCACTATGTCATTGGACGAACGCAAGTCGTTAGCAACCCGAGTTTCCGCAAGTATTCTGGGACAGGACAAATCAAGTCAATCAATCAGTGGTGTCAAGGAAAAACCTAGCGTTCAAATTGACATTCCTGCAGAACAACACGAACAGACAGAAGGTGAACAAACGGAAGAAGAACCAACAAAAGACCAATAAGTAGAAGGTGAAAAAAGAGGAGGCAAATAAGCAGAAACCAAGCAAACGTAAGGCGAAAAAGAAACAGATGGTAAACAAAGACAGTTGACAGATGGAAAGCAGAGACTGCACGGTTGGTGCAGTGGCTGGGTAACTAGCTGCAGTGCGACGTGCCGCATGTTGGATTCCCGCTCGGAACAACACTTTGTATGATCCACAAATTGTTGTTTTTTTTATGTTCGTCAACGCACCCACGACACAGGACGAAATCCTAATGAGGGACAACGTTATATTTTTTTATACCTATATTAGAAATAAAAATAAAAAATTCCATGAAGTTATAGACACCATCAAAACTAATATTAATGACTTATTTTTTAAGCCTAACAAGTTATAGTTACACCGGCCTCTCGCTCCCCCTCTGTCTGCATCCAAATATCCAAATATAAGTACTCGAATGTTCAAAGACACAAAGCTTTATTTCTCTTTTCTGTTATTTCTATTTGATTTGGTATTTATTGAAATTATTGTACTATTTATTAATTATAGTTACGATTAATAAATAATTATGCAATTTAACGATGTTTACATTTAACTTCGTTTCGATTCACGGGACCACAGGGTCCCAGATCTTTTGAAGGTGCACGAGGGGCCGAAGCCAACTCGCAGGGGCCCTTTGAACATTATCTATACTAATATTGTTAAGAAGTAAAATTTGTAAGTTTGTAAAGGGTAAACTTTGGAACCGCTGGTCGGATTCTCAAATTTTTTCACTGATATATTTTATATCATAGGCTATAAAACATCGCCCTACGACCAATAATAGCAGCCGAGCAGCGGATGAAACCGCGCGGCTGTAGCCACTGCACCAAAGGACAATTGGACACAAACAACCCGGTTGATGCAGGACTATTATCCAATATGGTGGAAAATTATAGTAGGTAGGGGAACCGATGAAGGAATTTCGGTAGTTAAAAATAAGGATATCAATATAAAAAAATTACTAAATACAGTCGTTTTTGTCAGATTAGGGGGGAATTGTAGATGTCATGTTAAAGAAAGCTTACAGTTATAGTGTATAATCTATGGTCACGACACGAGGACTGGACCGAAGATGAAGAACAAGACAACCCCCAGGAGTCAGGTCCTTGGGGCCGCCACTGCCCAACAGCTCGCCACAAGCCCAACAGCTCGCCACAAGCCCAACAGCTCGCCATAAGCCCAACAGCTCGCCACAAGCGGCACATTTTTCTCATTAATTTAATAAAATAATTTTTAACAAAAAAAAACCGACTTAAAAAAGTAAACTAAAAAGCATAAAATAAATTTTCTGTGTACAAAGTAATACATGTTTTCATTTAGGTAAATAGAAAATAAAATTAATAACTATTTTTTTAATCGCAAAGTCGGTGCCAAGTAAATGCCACATACCAAACAACAACAGTACCTATTAGAAACATGTATTGATCGGTACCTACTAATCATTATTGTATTACTTGGCACCTGGCACTAACTTTTTTAGGTGGTCCCATGTGCACCAGGTCAGGATCTGATGATGGAAACCCAGGAAAATCAAGGGAAACTTTCAAATTTTATAGGGACAGTAGGCTACTGAACAAAAAAAATTTAGAAATCAGTCCAGGCGTCGAGTCGAGTAATCGCTGAAATTACATAAAAAAATATTAAAATAAAAAGAGCCCGACGAATTGAGAACCTCCTCCTTTTGTGAAGTCGGTTAAAAAGAATCCTTCCGACATGCAGATAAACAAACTGCACCAACATAATAATCCCACTTACATCCGGTTCAGTCTATGGATTTAGGAAAACAATAATAGAAGCGATTATAGCTTTATGATATCAATAAGGTACCTAAAGGTGCCTAGGAAATAATGTCAAATTGTTCTAAGTTTTTTATTTACTAAAATGTTGCGATTGATGTATTTACGAAGTCTTGTTTATTATACTATAGTCAGACTTTTAATTCGATTCCTGATTTGACATTGACCACTGTCATTTTGTGAAATAATGATACCACATATAACAGTGTAGTGATGAACACACAAATCGATAAACAATCAGTGAATCAGTTTCAGGAAGGCATTCAAAAAATTACGGCTACCGAATGGTCTAAATGCGTATCTCATGTTGTCAAAATAGGGGAAAAAATTAGTAAGCTAGATATGTTAATTGACAATAAAAATCACAGACACAATTTATAATAAATGTTACAAAAAGTAACAGCGATAGCGATAGCGATGACGGCCACAATTTATAAAATTTCTGTTTTATTTGTCATGTTCCTTCATGATCACATTTTTTATTTATTTCACACACAATTACAAAAGAAAAGTCTCAGATCGTTAATTAATTGTCAAAACTAAATTATCGGATCAGAAATATTTTATTTCCTGATAAACTTAGTTTACGAGATTAAATTTATAAACGAGAGGAATCGATTCAGAAATATTCGATTTCCACATCGAATAATTTCGCAACGTCACTATTTAATACGTGTCATAACGTTGCAACACTGAAATTGTCAAATCTGGAATGGAATTAAAAGTCCGAGTATAATTGACTTCGATATTTGCAACAATCTGTATTTGTCATTTTTATTCCTTGAAAAAGATTTAATTTATTTACATAAATGGTTTAATAAAATATTTCCTAAATCATTAATTAGTTTAAATTAATAATATTTCAACTTTATTAAATTGACAAGAATAGAATAGACTAGCTATTAAAAGTCCATTCTACCTCCGATTTGTAGAACCATGAACAGAAGTCTTTAAATTAGTTTGGTCTTTATAATCTGTAGTGTATCCACAGATATTATTTCACATTTTGTATCTATGCTTTTTGTGGTTGATTGACTTATTCCATAGATTCGTCAAGTTTTGCAAAATTATTAATCACTTCAACTACAATAACGTTTTCATTTTATTTATTATTCGTTTATGTAGTATTAAAGAAATAAATTGCAAATTAACTTACTACAAGTAACTAACAGATTAGTGTATAAACGGTGGTCAATTACGTTAAGTAATTTTCTTATGATGTGTAAAATAATTTGTTTTAATGAGTGTTAATTTACTTTTGGGTATCCCCTTTTGTTATTTATGACAATTCTATACGAATGCGTAAATAAATAAACTATAAAAAGACTAGCTCATCTGTAGCTAGCACAACTAATTTTGGTTATTGGAAATGTACTAGGCTGTTTGGAAAAATAATGCAATGTACGCTCCAGATAATAGAAGAAAGGATGCCAGAGATGTTATATATCGCAGCAATTCAAGTCTTGACTTGATATATGCTGAACATCCATCCGGGAATGGTTTGAGACGGGAGTACGGAAGTCATGGTTCAATTGACGTAATTGGAGGTGCGAACGATCGTTTACCCGCGATGGTACATAGCTACAGCGGTGTGTCAGCGCCAGAAAAGACACCTGGTCTCAACCGCACTGTAGATAGAATTGCTGACGGCCTAACAACGGACCATGCAGATGGACCTCCATCGAGATCGAGTGCCAGCCCTAAACCGCGACTCAAATTGAATAAACTATGGGGTGGCGCAGCACCCGTGTTAAACCGTGCTCCTCTAGATGATAGTGGTCTGTCAGCAGTAGCTGATGTAAACAAGAGGAAGCAGTTTGCTCACTATGATTGCCAATCGCTTATGGCCAACTTAACCTATGCTGCTGAGATCCGTGGAGCATTGTTAAGCAGGCGTCGAAATACTACAACAGGAGCATCAGCAGCTTCTTTGCTAGCAACTCGTGGGCTGCCTCCTGGAGAAGATGCAGTTCCAGATACAGGAGATGGAAGATCAAATGAGTTGCTAGAAAGCTGTCCATTCTTCAGGAATGAACTGGGAGGTAAGGCTTTATTTTCTATGCAAACAAAACTTCTGTATGCGATCTTATTCCACTTGAAACATCAATCATATTACAAATATTGGTAGTTTATATTTTTAGATAGAAACGAAACAGGGAAATAAGAGACTAGTTGCATTAAATTGCCATAAATACCTTAAGACCATTACAACATTACCATTGTGACATCTGTGAACCAGGTGACACAAATTGTACTCTCACACTTGACATTGTTATTGGAACAATTGAGACTGTGATTGAAACACAGTTATGTATGTTTCTTGTTTTCTTGTTAAATGTAATTGCATAAAACAGTATGAAAATGTGTTTTTCCAAATTAAACATCATTCCATATTGTTAACCATATTAAGTAGATCTTCCTGCTTGAATTATAGTAATTGGTCAAGAACGGACCCAGAAAAGGTTTAGTCACTTTCCTTGAATCTTAGATGAAATGTGTAATTTGTACAATGAGCACAAATTGTGTGTAAGCAGTTACAGGACGAAAGACATACATTTGTCTACTTGTTGTGTCTATTACAATCAGCGATGAGAAGCTACTTAAATAATTATTGTACTGTTTGCGTCAAAGTTAAACAGAATAGATGCAAATTGAATAACCTTATATTATAAATAGGTAAAATTTGTAAGTTTGTATTGTATGTAGGGGTAAAATTTGTAACCGCTGGTTGGATTTATAAAAATCTTTCTCTGATAGATAGCTACAGTCTATAGATTTTACTTGATTTGCGTACATTTGAGTGGAGCTATCACTTTAAAAGCTGCTGTTTTTAATATCTTGGGATACATTACTTTTATGTCTAATAACATTGTTTTATACTATGTAGTGATTATTATTGATGACTTTATATTATCTAAGTATTATATTTGTTACCTATATTTTATACAATTAACACTTTCTTATTTTTGTTAAAGTAAATTGTGACTGCATTATTAATTGAACATAGTTTAAATTTTATGCCCCATTCAATATAACTTATTCATTAATGCAACAATTACTGCACATTCAGTCATGCACAGCCAGTGTACAGTTGCAAACAGCTAAGATAATAAAGACAGTAACTACATAGTATTTTGCAGTCAAAATAAATAAAATATTGCTGTACACTGTACAGCAATATTTTAACATTAGCCATGTAAAATTAAGAAGAAGATTAGTTAGAGAGTCCCTTTGTTAGGAAATAAATTGATAAAAAAAAATCTATGTTTACATTTGCATTGTTCTATCCTTAACCTTTCAAGTCACCTTTCCAGTGACCACTAAAGTATATTCTAAAGTAAAATGTCCAAGTTTTGTTATTTTATTTATTTTCTACTAACAGGTGTCAAAATGAATTAGCTTATTGATTTTGTACTGAACTGTACTCCACTTGGTGTAGTGTACATCTACTTTTTACTGTAGAATAGTTGCACTTTCATTTATAACTGCTTCTTTCTTTGTTAGAAAAACATGCATTTACACAAGTGAAAATTGATAACTATCTTATAGTAATATTGTGAGAAAGTTATTATATGTTCAGGCTAAGGATAATGATTCTGTTTGATGTATGACATATAATATTATATTAAATAAAAAATCTATTAATGATAGAAATATACTGCCATAGAAATCAGAAATTAATAATACCTAATTTAAATGATTTCAGGTGAAGAAGAGCGATGTGTGTCACTATGTTGGAAGACTGCTCGCGGTGCTATACTAGGCCAGTCAGGAGGCTGGCACCGTCCTCGCGCCGCTTACGGGATTTCTATGTTAGAGTTCCCTCCCGGACAAACACATTGGCGTCACGGCTGCCCATTCGCCAGATCCCTTTCACCATTCCCAATAGAAAGCCAGGATTTAGGAGCTTTGTACTACAGAAATTATTTCTACAATCAACGTAAGTAAACTCATATAATAAAGATTTTGTCTGTGAGAATATAGCTTAAATAAGAATAGTGAGTAAAACATAACAATAAGTTAAGGGGTACTTTATTCATTATTACAGCTCATCAAAATTGGTTTGGCATGGACGAAAATCTTGGGCCCGTGGCGATATCTATAAAGAAGGAGAGGGTGGAGCTTCGTCGTGGAGGTGGCGATGTGTCTGCTCCCGCATCACAGTTGGCATGGCAGTACCGCCTCATCTTACGCACCTCTGAATTACTTACGCTACGCGGGTCTGTGCTCGAAGATGCTTTGCCCACAACAAAACCAAGCAACAATAGTGCTACATACAACACTAAGGATGTTCTGGAATATGTCGCTCCAGAGTTACAAGTTAACTGCTTGAGGTAAGTTCTACCCACTAGAAAATAGATTACCTATACTAATATTATAAAGAGGTAAAATTTGTAAGTTTGTATGTAGGGGTAATGTTTGGAACAGCTGCAGCCAAAATTCTTTCACTGATTTAGTTTTAGTTGACAATTTTCGTGAGTGCTATAGGCTATTAAACATCACGGTACGATCAAATGGAGCCGAGCAGCGAGTAAAACCGCGCGAGAGCAGCTATGTAGTTTGTAATAAAATACAATTATAGTATTTTGTAAATTGTACTATTTTGTGATATTAATTTCAGGCTGGGTATCAACAATGGTGGCGCCGAAGAACAACTTTTACGATTAGATGAACAATGCGTTACAAGACATTACAAAGTTGGAGTCATGTACTGCAAGAGCGGCCAGTCAACTGAAGAAGAAATGTACAATAACCAAGAAGCTGGACCAGCTTTTGTGGAATTTCTCAAGATGTTGGGCCAAACAGTTAGATTAAAAGATTTTGATAAGTATAAGGCTGGTCTGGACAACAGAACTGACTCGACTGGACTGTACTCTGTATTCACCACGTACCAGGGTTGTGACATAATGTTCCACGTGTCCACCATGCTGCCGTATACTCCCAACAACCGACAACAGTTGCTGCGGAAGCGCCACATCGGCAATGATATTGTAACCATTGTCTTCCAAGAGCCTGGTGCGGCGCCGTTCACCCCACGGAATATCCGGTCGCAGTTTCAACATGTTTTTGTTGTAGTTAGGGCTATAGATCCATGTACAGAGAATACGCATTATAGTATAGCTGTCAGTCGTGCTAAAGAAGTGCCTTTGTTTGGACCTCCGATAAAAGATGGTGCGATATATCCCAAGGGCGAAGCCTTCACTGACCTATTGTTAAGTAAAGTAAGTTCATTTCTTAACTAAACCAATTAAAAAGTGTTAGATAAGGAGGTCATAATAAAACTCTTAATTCTTTTTAGGTTATAAATGGCGAAAATGCTGCTATTCAATCACCAAAGTTTAGTACAATGGCAACGCGCACGCGTCAAGAGTACCTGAAAGATTTAGCGAAGAATTATGTGACTGCAAGTACTGTGGAAACAGGACAAAAGTTCTGTAAGTATACAATCACCATTATTGGCTTTTATAAACTTAACTTTAAAGAATTATGTAATCTTGAATTTGTTTTGTATGTGTGTTTCAGCTATTTTCTCGTCGTTGCTTATGAAAAGTGGAAGTAACTCGACAAACAATACTTTGATCACACGAGTCGAAAACTGTACGAACGACGTTTTAGTTGGTGGCGCTCTCTGTTTTCACGTAAGTTTCAATATGTAAATGTAAAAGCTTTAATAAATTCTATTATGGTTACACGGCTGCTGTAGAAGTCTTATGACTACTTTTATACGGGACTGTAGCAGTTTAATAAACTTTCAAAGATCAAAAGTCAAAGACTTATTTTAAAAACTTATTATTATGTACATGATTACAGGTGCAAGTACAAGATGAAGGTGCAGGCGGTTCTCTGCTAGACTGCATTATGGGGGTGTCGGCTGACACCGTGGTGTTCGTCGAGGACAGTACCAGGCAAATCGTACTCGTTCTACCTACCAGCTCGTTACTCGGTAAGATTTCTTGATATTTGTTGGTTGTGCCAGTTTAACGATGGTTAAGTAAGCTCATGTAGTTCGTTGCTCGTTACTTGGAAAGTGGAGACTCCGTAACTAATTTCTCGTGCTGCTGAATAAACGATTTGCTTCAACGGCAGAACTTGTGTTATATGCACCATTTGTAACTCGAGAGTAACAGGCAATATTTATATATTATCATGTTTCTTTACAGGGTGGGTGGTGAGTGGAGGTTGGACTCGAGTGTACTACCACCGCGGCGAGAGTGTGAGACTGCGAGGCGGTGGCGAAGCCCTACTGCGGCGGCTGAGCAGCGTGGCCCCGCCCCACGCCCATACTTTGGCTGAGATCACACTCGAGCGCGGCTCACAGCCTCAACTCGGTAACTATATTTATTTATTAATGTGTAATTCCAGACTATAATGTATCTCTGTGCCAATTTCAGCAGTTTCAAAACCCGTGAAGCAGTTTTTATGTAAAAGAGAAGCAAATACTTATTTATCTGTCTATCTATACATACAAACTTTCTCTTTTATTATATTAGTAGTGTTTTTTTAATATTTTTGCACGTAAGTTTCAAACCTACCGAAGAATTGGAGTGCAGTGATTTTCAGTTAGAAATAGTTACACTGCCTCCCATCTTAGGGGTTTTTACTTTAGTGGCCTAATGACTTCTCCTCATTCTTCAGACAGACTTCTCTCTCGCCCCGAATGCGGCGAGATGGAGTGTCAGACTCTCGTTGACTAAAACCATCCAGTTCCATCTGCACGAATTAAATATCTAATCACCCCACTTGTGTCTCCATTAATCCATGGAATTCAATTCTGTGTAGTGAAAGTCACATAAAAATCCGTTTGTAAGTTTTGAGTTCATCAAGTCAGAAAAAATGAATTTATCTTTCAATGTAAGATTGATTGCTGTAATATAATTACATTGTTATTATTTGTCCCACAGGTTTCCACGTACAGCCGGACGGGCTAGTAACATTAGTGGAGAGCTCGGGCTGCGCGGCTCGGGCGGGGATCAAGCGAGGCGCGCGACTGTTGGAGGTCTGCCGCGCCGCCGTCGTAGCTCTGCATCACGACCAACTCGTAGATCTCCTTAAAACCTCGGACCCTGTTACCGTGAGTTATTCTACTACTAGATATACTGAACTATTAGTCTCAAATTACATTTCGTATTTTGTTCTGAGTGTGTATACAAACATTATTTGATAAATACTTCTTACGCACTTAAACCCATCCACAAAAGAATTAGGTATTATTTGGTGCAAGAATCGTTCCCGCCACATGTTTCATAGCAGCTGATCTTTCGGACGCAACGCTTATCGTACTGCATCCATAGCAATTAGCCATGACAATAAATGTAAGTTCCTAATATTATTCCCGGGTTAGGCGCAAGCCCAAAAATTTTCGAATGCACGGTTAACGCGGTTACTGGACAACTGGCTGCCATGAAACGTGTCGCGGGTTTTGATTACCTAGGAACAACACTTTGTGTGATCCACGATTTCTTCTTCCAGGTTTAAGTGTGATATGTATTTGAAATTGTATTTTTTTAATGCACTAGACACACTATACACGACACAGGAGAAATCATAATGTACCACGGCCCCGGTTTGAGTGGTTTAGTTAGTAAGTCTGACACTCCGCGAAAGAGATAATCTGCGAGAGACCCTCGCGGTGGTAAGGCATAATTATGAGGATTACTTTCCGTTAAAAAAATAAAAGTAATTTTGACCTCACGCGGCTCTGTGGTAGGCCAATATTTTGCTCATCCAATACCACTTATTTTATTTTATGCAGGTGACGGTGACATTCGCGTCGAGTACGAAGTGTCAGTGCGAGACGGGGCTGGAGGAATGCGGGCTGGCGCCGGGCCGCGGGGACGCCCAGCAGCCCGGCCGGCCGCGCCGGGCGTACGAGCGGGGACACTCCCCGCCACGCTCCGACAGCTCCGGATACGGGACAGGTTAGTATTGCCTGCGGGAGATGAATTTAATTCCCGCACCCTCACGCCCACGGAGCGAAGGGACACCAAGGTGCTTTTTAGTCTGTAAAAGTCTGAAGGTCCCCTTCGTCTCCTCAGGTGTAGAGGCTCCATGAGGGTTTTCCACCTTGGGGCAAAAAAGTTAATATTGCATTTTGTCTCCTTGTCACATTTACCATCTAAATAATTTTATGAGTATTCAACGTCGCTCATGGATACTCTCAAGTCTCAACACCAAAGGAGTTACAAGTGCGTGGACTGCGTTTTAGTGATTGAATAATGATGGTTTGTGGATTTGGGGATATGGGGTTATGGAGAAATGGAATGGGAAAAAGATTGGGACTCTGCTAAGGCTAGTGCCGTGTGAGTGAAGTCACTCACATGACCCATACTGCAATTTCGACCTTACACTTAAAATTAACTTAAAATGTTTGTCCTAGGTGGATCATGTCGCAGTGGGCGTCGGTCCCCGCAGACGTCCCCGTTGCCCGAGGCAGTGCGGCGTCGCTCTCACGACGACGCGGCTTCCCCGCGACACAATCGACACAAACGTGCCTCCGCCAACACTTCATCGCTCACTGTAAGTACTGGTTGCAGATTTCTAATGTCTTGTAACGCCCAATCTCAGGAAGAATTTTATTCATTAAGATTGGCCATAAGTTTTAAACAGTCATCAGTCATAACTTAAAGATAAGAGTTTAACTTAAAATAGTATGTTTATTAGCCAAATCTACTTAGGAAAACTTACTTCTTTCCCCAACAATTCTACTAACCTTATCCAAATCAATCCAACTGTGTGATCTTAGTTTGATCCAAATTATGAAAAGTAATGTATACTGTTTTAATCAACACTAAAATTCTTGTAGGAGGATCTTATCCGAATGATGGACGCAGAGCTGGGTGAGGGTGGTCGAGGCTCTGCAGTGAGTGGTACAGGGGGCTCCGGACCAGGTGGGGCGGCGCCCCTGCCACTGCCTGACGCGGGAGCCCTGGACTGGGCTGCGCTAGTACATACTGCCACGAGGGCTATGCTTCAGGTAACTACGAGAAGTAATACAACAGCATAAAATAAAAATTCTCATGCATACATAACTTTCACATCTTTGTAGGTAGAAACGACAAAGCACCATGTATTACCTACTACAGAAAATAAGTTTCGATTAAACGTTATCTTTTACAATTTTTGCGTAATACTTCTATAGCATATGTGATGTGATTAACATCAGATGTATCCATAATATCTACTGGCGTTTACTCATACAAGACTGCTTAATGTTGTTTTGTATGTAGGATTAAGGTGGCAAAGAAAATGCAGTAGTTTTGTTAGTCTTTTATTTTTCCATTAAAACCGAGGACAGGGCACACACCTCGAATCCTAGGTTACGCGATCTTGTTTATTTTTCAAATTATATTCCATCTTTTCACTTTCACACACGTGTACTCTCTTTCTTTCATTTACTTATGCTGACAATCCTATTTGACAATCTTAATTATCATTATACTTGTGTCTTTGGCTATCCTCTTTATTTTCATTCACCCGCATTTAAATTCGTCACAGACTCCACGCTTTCCTTTACTTCACCGTTTTAGTCATATGTCGATGAACGCTTACTTTTCGACTTCTAACAAAAGTGAATTATCGTAGATCTGTGAAGAACATCAGTACCCGTCCATGGACAACACGGATCCTTCATTAGAGACCCTACCGAACGAACCTACCACCGACTCTTGGAATGATGTTAGTGCTGTAAGTGCCTAGTGTTAAATACTACTAATGCGTCACAATCAAATTAATTTACAAATGAGGTTTTCATTATTACCTTTGACCGTTAGCTTTGCGAGGGTATCCCACTATCTCGCTGACAAGTAGATACTGAATACTCTATTTATTGCAAGCTACAAGTAAGATCAGCTTGCAGAGAAGCTAAAATTGGTCCAAGCATTGATTTGATGATGATAAGTTTTGAGCTTACCAAGATACTTTTCGATTATTTTTATATAATAAGGTGCAAGTACGCAAATATATTCTTATTTTATGTTTATGGGAAAGAACAAGTGAAGTTTTATAATAAAGTTTGTAATCCGCATCCAATCTATATCTGAGTATTATTAGAGTAGTATTATCGAAGTATGTTTCAGTTTGTTGATGACAGGTTGCAATCTAACAACATGCCCATTATAAAAACTCTTATTTTTATTGCAGTTTCAGAATATTCTTGTATGTGGATACATAAGCAACTCCTTTAATATAAAGTTTGTATGGTACAGACGACGGAGCCAGTTCCTGCGGTGGTGTCGGGTAGCGCTGTCAGTGCGACAGATACGTGTGCGTGTGGTCTGGCCGGCCGTGTCGCCGCGCTGGAGAATGACGCCGCCGCCGCGCAGCGACACCGACACCAACTCGAGGAAGAGGTACTATACAAAACTAAATCATTTTTTCAACACACTTTTATTGGAACTAGGCAATATTTCAATAAAACTAGTTAGATTTACAAAATAACGTATTTTAATATTGAACTAAAACAGCCATCACTTTTGGCACGGGAAAAAGAGAAAGACAATAGCGCCATCAGTGACCAAAAACTTAACTTATACTACAACATTTGCAAGAACGTTTCCAAACAGAATGTTTACAAAGGACAGTTGTTTAGTTTTTTTTATACTTTTTAATTTATTTTCAACACACTTCCTCATAAAATGGCTCTAAACTCACGGCAATTAGGCACGTAATAAAACCTATAATCAAACTGTGACTTTTTCATTACTATTAATCACCAGTGAGTAATAGTTTTATTTTTAAATTATTGGACGAGTTACGCTTATACTTGCGCTAAAATGCTAACCGCGAAAAGCCCAAAAAAAAAAGAAACATAATTTTTTAGTCTATGGCCGATACCCGCACTTTGGAGATTTTTTCCCGCCATTACGAAATATTTTTAATTTTTCCCGCTATTACGCAATATTTTTCACAACTCGTCTCGTTTTATCTTTTGAAGTTATTATGGGTTTTTATTGAAGTATTATTTTATTCAGTAGTGTATTGAAAAACGTCGTATGATACACGTGTGTATTGATGATTACCGTCCTTGTTTTAAATCCTATAGCACTCAGAAACATTGTAGCTATCTAACAGCGAAAGAATTTTGGAAATTGACTAGCGGTTTCAAAGATTATCCTCTTTATAATATTAGTATATAGGACCGCAAACAGGAAGACAGATTACCTGATGGTAAGCAATTGGCGCCGCCTATGGACACCTGCAAGATCCTACAACCCTAAAGAAGTTACGAATGCGTTGCCGGCCTTTTGGGGATTTGGAGATTCGGAGATTTTTGTATTGGGGAAGGAGTAAAAGAATTAGGTCTGCGGTAAGTGCGGTAACCTCACTCACACAGCGAAAAGCAACGCTATGCCTGCTACAACTACTCACTGCTATAAACACGTGTACGACCGCATAGTAGGGTACTTTGTCACCAGAATTAGTCTCCCCGTGGGTGTGGTAGCCGACGGAGGTTTCATTTTTATCTCCTAGAAATCTGAAACTTTTATGCTTCGATCTAATCTAGATCTTAATATTTGGAGTTATAAGTAGATGAATATAGGCCGATTGTCTAGCAGTGGACTGTAATGGGCTGCTTATTATTATGAATATATAGGTAATATTTTTAATATTGGAAACTAAACTCTGTATGTAAACCCATTGTTGGGTTAACAAGAATATTTTAAGAACAAAATTACCAAATCGGTTAAGCTGTTCTCAAATTTTAGCGATACTAACAAATAGCAATTACTATAATTTTAAGTAAGTACTATAAATTGTAAGATATACTATAAAAGCTACTCCTCTTCATCTTGAGACAAAATTTACCATGTTTTATTTCAGAACGAATGTATAGGCGAAAAAGAAATCTGCCATTATTGTATACAACATACACATACAAATACCCGTACATACTTTTCATTGCCTAAACTTTTGACACGATAGTAAAAAAAAAGCTACGACAAATATATTTATTATTTACTTTTATCTACAAACCAATATTTTCTTGCGTACAAGCCTCGTGTTGACTAGACAAAAATAAAAAATAATATTTAAATCAGTAAAGTATTTAATAACCTACAATAATTAATTTTATTATATCGGATTGTTTGACAGCAGTGACATTAATAAACATTAATAGGTTTAAAAATCGTTCGATCATCATTCACTGAATTTGGTACGTACTTAATATAAATTATCATTTTATACTTTATCAGATGAATGAACTAAACTTTAAATCGGATTTTTCTATTTATTTATGCTTTATGTACACAAAAAAAAAAAAAAAAATTTGGAACAAAAGGTGGACTTAATGCCATATGGATTTGTCTTCTAGTCAACCTTTGGGTCAAGTAGAAGAATGGGCGAGTTTTAAATAATAGATCAGTGTTTTTTTAAAATAATGGATCATTCTTTATACTTACGGTTATGTACCACGTAGTCGCACGCCCGTCTTACTACACTTTAATCAATCCGTACAAAAAATAATCCTAAATGATATGTTTGATATACATACGATAACAAACTAATTACAAGATTATAAAGATATTAAATAACGGATGTATATAACATATATAACTGAGTGAACCAAAATTTCGTATTATTTGGAAAACCCAGTGTTGTTTATTGTTATTCAGTACTGTGAACCTTTATAATCTTGATTTAATTTTTGATAGAATAATCTTGTTTTTACTGCTTTGTAATCCGTATGAATCAAAATATTGACACTGTTCGATCAGAACCCCTTCATTTAAAATTGATGGTCGGATCACTTGTTTAATTATTTAGTTTGTTTTTATTTACCGAAATAAAAAAATGGCAATCCTATGTCACTTTTGCTTTGAACGTCGCGTAAATCGTCGGGTACCGACATATTAGGTAATTTTCTGACGATATTAATAGACATTTTTTATTTAAGTACTTACTTACTTTTTTTTTTGAGATTTCTCAAGTGAATTATCCCGCCCTGCGTAGTAGTATAAAACTCATACTGACTAAATACCATACATATAACTGTGGCACTTGCAGATACTACCCCGAAAAAATTTGATGGCTTGTGTAATATTTCTTTTAAAAACATATGTTAAATCATCATCATCATGAGCCTGATTTCATCCACTGGTGGACATAGGTCTCCCCAACAGCGCGCCACTGCATTCGATATTTTTCTCATCCAATCACTGCTAGCCACCCTGCGGATATCGTCAGTCCACCCAGCTGGAGGGCGCCCTACACTACGTTTGCCTAGGCGTGGTCTTAACCCTAGAACACGTCTTCTCCAACTGTCATCGATATTTCGGCAAATGTGACCAGTCCCCTGCCACTTTAGTTTACTTGTCCTTTGTGCTATGTCGACAATTTTAGTTTTTGTCGGATTACCTCGTTTCGAATACACTCCTTCACAGAGACTCCAAGCAGCCCTTTAAATAGTATGTCTATATCTTAACAATCGTTATGATGTACTGATTAATATTCTGTATTGCGACTACGTCACGCCATGTGACTTCAATTTATATCGACAGAATGATGACGTTCGTTTAATTTAATCAGCTTAAGATTAAAAATAGTGTTTTTCTTAAACAACATTCTTGTAAATCTATACATTGGGGCTTTTCCTGTTTGCTAAGAAGCACATTTTTTTTTAAACCAAGATTCTTTCTTGTGGGTCCTAATAACAACTCGTTATTCATGAAATTAATTAATTAAAAAAAAAGTACAGACAGTCAGTAGACAAATGTTAGTAAATAACAACCAAAGAGATCAATGTAATTTATAAAAAAACTAGCTCTTACCCGCGGCGTAGCTCCCTTCATTTTATTACCTACCCTACTCTACCTACCCTACTCTACCTACCCTACTCTGACTACCCTACTCTGCCTATCCTACTCTACCTACCCTACTCTACCTACCCTACTCTACCTACTCTACCCTACTCTACCTACCCTACTCTACCTACCCTACTCTACCTACCCTACTCTACCTACCCTACTCTACCCACCCTACTCTACCTACCCTACTCTACCTACCGTACTCTACCTACCCTACTATACCTACCCTACTCTACCTACCCTACTCTACCTACCCTACTATACCTACCCTACTCTACCTACCCTACCCTACCTACCCTACTCTACCTACCCTACTCTACCTACCCTACTCTACCTACCCTGCTCTACCTGCCCTACTCTACCTATCCTACTCTACCTACCCTACCCTACTCTACCTACCCTACTCTACCTAACCTACACTACCTACTCTATCCTATCCTATCCTATCCTATGTCCTTCTCCCAGTTCTTTTCTACCTCCCTCCTAATTTTCAGCTAAATCGGTTTAGCAGTTCTTGAGTTATAAGTGGAGTAACTAACACGACTTTCTTTTTTTTATAAAGATGTCAGGGTAATGAAATTGAAGTTTAAAATGGCACTGGGGACCCCTTTCTCTCGACTGGTTGGGCGTCCGAAACTTTACTTATCGTACGAATAACAACATTAGACCTCGACAAAAAAATGGGCAATGTAAACTTTTCCATAAATCAGGTGATCCGGTTAATAGATTAATCTTTTTAGGTTTAACATTTAGGTAAAGCCTGTTAATAAGTATATCAACCTTATTTGATATAAGAACTCGGTGTGATTTTGAATAATAAATTTGTCATCAACTGCTTACGGAAAAGGTTTAATTTATCACTGCAATCACTTAGTCATAATATTTATATCGGATTATATTTTTTAAGTAAGTGAAACAATAGGCATAGGTATACATACATGCATACATACTCGATTGCACTTGTTTGCTAAACATCGTAGCTTATTTTATACTAGCTTCCGCCCGCGGCTGCATCAGCGTCGTATGTTGATAAAAAGTAGCCTATGTCCTATTCCGGATTGTATCCTATGCCTGTGGCAAATATCATCCAGATCCGTTCAGCCGTTTTGGCGTGATTGAGTAACAAACATCGTAACTTTCGCATTTATAAGTTAGATTCTTTATAACAAATATTCATTAGAAATAAAACTCACTTATATCTTCAGATCAATTTTTATGTGGATCACAAGCCAGTCCATATTTGTCGCCATACTTTTTAATATACCATAAACAAGCCAAGACATCCACAAACTAATTCCACACCACTGGTAGTGTTGAAGTACTTTTATACTGATATAATAGCAAATCATTTCAGAAGTAATAGTCTCTTTTCATATCATTCCTCACACAATCTTTCGCTAATTTTATTAGCCGTCTCATTTCCTTCCATTGTGCTGAAATAAAAATTCAGCAGATGCATCGACACCGATAAACAATTTTAAGGAAAATATCCATCATTACTATTAAACTTGAAAAAACCCAGAAACTCTTATCTTAGGACATCA